GTGACAAATGATCCAAGCAATCTGGGGGGACCACGCGTACTTCAAACCCAGCTTCTGCTTTGGGTTATTGGTTTTACTGCTGTGCTTTTTCTGTGTGTGTTTCTTCAAGTTTCAAAGGAAAAATGTTGAACTTGAGAGCTTTTTTTGTGTGAAAACACTCCTTATAAATTCCCTTTAAGAATTATTGTCTAGCGTTATAGAGTAGTTTCTTATTCCGCCCCCCTTAAAATTGATCATCGATCATTTATATGGCTTCTTATATCAAACACATAACTGGAATTTAGATTTCTCTGTTGGGCTCTTAAAAGGTGCTGTGAGGAACTTTAGGTTTTTGTTGTTTCTGGCGCCCTCTGTGGTCAAAGCAGTATCTGCAAGGGTTTTGCTGATTTCATTCTCGGCATTATAAAGCAGATGTTTTAAAAAACAAAAACCTCAACCAGCTTTCTTTTCACTTAAATTAATCACCAAAACAGTTTGTTATGGAAAATCCAAATAAAAGTATGTTGTTGATTACTCAAGTGTAGCACCAGTCTGCTTTATAATCAGATAAATGAGGTTTGAACCAAAAACAGGCACTTTTGTGAAATATGCTAAATGATAATTGTCAAAAAAGGAAGCTTCTCTAGACAACTGATAAGATCTAGGGTGTCTCTTATATCATTTTGAAATTAAATTATTTGTAACTGTCAGTCTGTTGTGGCCAGTTTTGGTTTGTATCTTGAAATGCACACAGTCAAAGTCAGAAATTATCGGGGGCCATGGGCAGAAAGGTTTTCTGAAGAAAACTATCAAATATGTTGTATGCCAGGGTTGTCCTCTCATGGGAAACTCTGTTAACATGTCCTTAAACAAGACACTGAATCCCAGCCAACTCCTGGAGGACAATGGTCCTGCACTCTGACCTTCCCTCAGAGGGGCCAAGTGAAAAGTGCATTTGGACAGACAAATAAATAAATAATGCTAAAGGCATTTGGAGATACTCTGAGAGCTGATGGGGTGGAGTGGACAAAGGGGGAGGATGTGTGTATGTTATGTGAGTGTTGGTTGAGTAGGAGTAAGAGATAGAGGAGCAGCTGAAAGCACATGGTGCTTGAAATGGATGTTGCTGTTTGCTCTGATGATGATTCCTCTGAATGCTAATGTGCCGATATGGATGGTTGAAGAGCGATGCTGTTGAATGATTTCTGAGGAAAGACAATTTGAAGCAAACACATGAAGATTTACTCTACGTATTTGAATTGCTCCAGCCAGCATCATTTCCATTTCTGACTAGATTTTTTACAAATTTCTGACATAAACTGTGATAACATGAGAGTGATTGTTGCAAGCGCAGAAAGGTGTGAGATTAGCTCTCATAAAACTAGATATTATCACTGTGGCGGCTGAGCAGGGAATACAGAGATAGCCTCGGTCATGAAAGTCATGAGGTGTTTTTTTTTCAGCGGCACAGAGAAGAGTGAATTGATTTGCCCGAGGAAAGGTGAAGGAAAAAGAATAGGTACATCACTCAACAATAGACCATCACTTTTTTCTGTCTCAGATTTCCACAGACCTTGCCAAGTCTGACAGGTGACATGGGTCACACACGTCAGAATCCCTGCTTACCTGAGCTCACCTGTTGCCATGCCAACAAAGGATATGGTCACAAGGCATGACGTGTGAGTGTGTGTATTGATTGTGGCGGTGGTACCTTGCAGGAGTAGTTCTTCTGGGTGACCAAACTGTTCGACAGAACGAAGTTGAAAAAAGGAAAAGCTTGGGTTATTGATTTGCTGTACGATAATAATATTAATAAAAATAACAGATAATAAATCTTCTTTCTTTCTTTTTAGTGTGCTCCTGTACTGTGGGTTATATAGAGACATCCCTTGTAATTCCAGTGAGGAGTCTAAAACTCCTCACAGCAGCTTGAAGTATCTGTTAACAGCTATCTAAAAGAGGACTCTAACTACTGCACATTTCTCACAGCCAGTTGTGTGATCTGACTCATTTGTTATGCATAAGCAGCTGTATCTCTGTTCCTCATTAAAGGCTGATATATTAGACTGTGAACTGATTTCTGCCCTCTGTGGAGAAAGCTGCTGTCCTGTCACACGGATAATGAGTATATGCCTTTTGATGAACACATGAGCATATTAGCATATCCAATTACTGCATCGCTCTGGTACCAGACCCTATTCTACAAGTCATGTAGAGTGAGAGCTGTTAAATGGAAGTAAATAGAGGAATTCTTTACTTGATATGTTGGAGTAAAAAAGATATTTCCAGTTAATTAGATCAAAGTTTCCAGTAATCTGCTTTTATCACTTTCTCTCATTTACATTTGAGTAATAAAGCAAAGTGTCAGACAGTTAAAGGGTTATTCCAGCGTGAAATTAATTTAGGGTCAAACACAACGTAACACTGAGTTAGAAACCCCCTCGAGAGATCAATGTTGTCGACCGCTTGCTTCTCTAGTTATACCAGCTTTAGTAATGACCGCACGATAGCAATACACAGCGGTTTGAGTAGCCTTAAAAAAACCTCAACTAAAACGCCACTCTATAGCCACAAATAATGCTCAGAACAGCACCTAACCTCATCAACAGTAGGGTCCTAGCCATAGCACAAGCTACCAAACATCTTTTTAGCTTTGCCTAATTTCTGAAGCAAAGAGACTAAACACAACTCACCTACTCTCTTCCAGCAGCCACTTGTTTGTAGCGAGACTTCGGGCCAGTCCATTACGGAATGCAGCGGGGTGACGCAGTCTAAGGAAGAACATTTATGATAATTTCTTCATGGAAATGCAATCGGACTAAGACGCTAAAGCAGAAGAACGACCGTGTCTGCAGTGCAAAACGATAAATATGGTGATTATTACTTCAAGGAAATGATAAAGTAATCCTGGGACGGCTGAGTATTGCTATCGTGCGGTCGTTACTAAAGTGGGTATAACTAGTGAGGCAAGCAGTCGGCAACATCTCTCGAGGGGGTGTCTAACCTAAATTAATTTTATGCTGGAATATCCCTTTAATATCAAAATGTAAATCAAATATATGTATTTGCTGATTTAACCTACGACCTACAAAAATGCTGCTGACAATTCCAGTGGTAGGCCTATTAAATTCAGGTTATTTCTAGCCAGGGGAATGATCTTGACTCAGGGCGGTTTGTCATAGAGGAGGAATGCAAATTGAATTGGCTTTACAATCCCCAGGGCAGCAGCAGCTACAGTCTGCATCTGAACAGCTACTGTATCTTCCCCCCAAACAAACAAAACAAAACAAAAAAAACAGACTTGAATATTCAGAGGTGCACAGTTAATAAAACTCTAAATTCAAATTGTTGGATTTCTTCATAATCTTAAACGTGGTCAACAACAAATCAGATAAGTCTACACTGAAGGAAGATGACATTTTGCAGTATTGAGAGACTGTATAAGTGGACGGCTTGCTGCTGAGCAATTTTATGAACATCTCTGACCTTGGTAATTACATGCCACTTTTCTTTGTGACGACGATGATGAGAGGTAAAAGCATGCAATCTAAAGGAGTGCTGACTTGGAAAGCCTTTGCAGATGAGACCCACTTTGACGCACTTGCTTTAGTATGAATCCACTCAGGGGGGGAGAGATGCAACTCCTACCTGAGCAAATTAAGCTAATGCAGGACCAACACTCACAGTCGCTTAAGTTTAGATTCTCTTTAATTAAGTATTGATGAAAAAAAACAGCACCTTCCACTGCCAGCACTTCTTCCAATCAGCATTTTGTGTCAGTTTGTTTGCCTCACAGGATTCCAGTGGAAAGGAGCAGTAATCTAATTCGACTGTTTGTTTTGGAAGCTGCTTATTGTTGCCATAATTCAAATTTTCAGCTGCAAGGCAACACAATCATCAGTAAGTCATCTCTTTGTACCGTCATGCCACCATCATGCGAATACAGGGATTAGATTTTTTGTGAATCCCCCTGAGATGTAAAAACCCGAGAGCATGTCGTTGCTGCAGGCAGAAATAGCTAAGGGGATTGTGTCTCGAAGGGAGATTTTGACAAGTAGATAGCCTACTTGGTGGGCCTCACGGGATCACTAATGAAGACACCATCTCTGATTTGAAGTGTCATCAGTCGCCAATGCATCCATCTACAGCTCTCATGTACATCTTTCCATGTAAGAGCACCATGTCTAAAGAAGCTTGTAAAAGCCTGAGCCGGGATGGAGAGACCCTGGAACAGACAGGAAGAAGAGAATTGAATTACCCTGACAGTTAAAGCCCCCTCCACCTCTCTCCCTCTAAGTCTCATCTTGCATCCTGCCTTCATGTGCCAGCAGGGGTAGAGAAAGGAAGCAAAGCCCACAGAGGGTTTCTGACTACCTTTGGCTCACGCAGAAAAGTGTGAAATTGTTGCCATGGTTAACTGCTGCACCTGTGCGGATTCAAGACTCTCCAGTCTGGAAATCTGTCAAATCGAAGTCTGTCAAGACGAGAGAGTAGACATGTTTAACAAGTAACTCATTAGAAAATAAAGAAATAATTGCAGGTGGGTGATTAGACCTTACTCTTTCCCGTAGCTCTGTTGAGACTTGTATTCACTCCATTCCAAAAAGACTTACAGAAGTCATACTCCTGCGAGTTCAGAGGATTTAAGCTGCTTAATTAGCCAACGAGTCTGGTCCAACCTTGTTCCATGTCCAGCTGTCCCTGGACCCCTGGCATGCTCGTACTCAGCCAGTCTTCCAGAACTAGTTTATATAAACACCACTTTCATCCCTTTTAATGACGTCAGCCGCACAGACCCCCAGTGAGAAGAAATGGGCCCCAGAGCTCGACAGGAGGAGGGCAATTTAACAGTAGTTATCTGTGACGTCATAATGAGTGGGCAGAGTGTGTAAGACTCAAAGAGGGAGGTCAAAATTAGTTCACTGCCTGTAACCAGTCAAGAGAAACGCCCAAACCTCCAACACATCTATCTGTTTTAATTAGGAAATTAAATAAGAAGCAGAGGCAAAGAGCACACCGTGTTTTCAACTCTGTAAAACTTTGACAATTTATTGCTGGTCTTTAAAGAGGAAAATTTGTCAAAGACATTAAAAAGCATTTTGAAGATAGTTTTTACACATTGGAAATAAAAAATATCTAAAACAACTGATTGGCACCAGTTTCCTGCTTGCAGTTGGTCAACTTGCTTGTGTGTTCAGTAACAATCTCAAAATATGTGGCGATTTCAGCCCTGATCCTAAAATATGGAAACATTAACATGAGTTTGTTAGTAGTCCAGGCATGATATAAGTTCACATTCACAGATTTTTCCTTCATATACAGTGCAGGTCAGAGCTTCCAAGATTTAAAATTGGCAAATTTGAACGATAAAATGGTTCCAGTTTTCAAAACAAGGCACAGCGCTTTTATGTTTTCTGTACATTTCCAGCACATTTGACATTTTTGTACTCCAATGTCTATGCCTGAAACAGATCGCTGATGGCCAGGTGGGTTTTCGACACGGAAAAGGCTGGGTAAAGAGGCTCGGTAAACCTGTGCTCATAGGAATGCATCAAAGCAAGACTGCCCCCTGGTGTCACGTTGAAGAAAGACACGACACCCTCCTCAAAGTCGAGGTACACTCCCACTCTCTGCAGCCTGTCCACATTCACAGCAGAGGCCACTTTGTTATGCAAAGCCTCCACCTTCTTTCTGTCACAGGCCAGGCACCAGGAGTACGAGTTGAAGCCCAGGCGAGAGTTGTCCTTTTGGCCTTTCCTCTCAATCTGACCCTCACACAACCCCACCTTCCAGCGCCCCTCATCCACACACACATTAACCTCCCAGTACCAGCGACCCCCCTCCAGGGCGCAGGAGGCCAGGACCTGCGGGAAGGAGGTGAACCTGGCGTCATGTTCAGTGTAGGCCTGCTGGGTCTCGCTGTATGTTACCTTCCTGTTGTTATCAGACAGCTGCAGTTTGGGATGAGCCGTGTCTGCATCCAAGACAGGGATGGTACCATCTGTACACAGGAGAGGAAATTAAGGAGGAATTTAGATGAGGAGATTAGCACTAATTGAATTTGCCACCTTTGGGCCGCCAGGATGCATTTAGTCCGTTGGTTTAATTAGCAGTGATTCATCAGTGAGAGCAAAGTAAACAGGTGTGGATACAAGAAAACACTTGTCTCACAGAGCAGTCTGAAGAGGTCTCTATCTTCGCCCGGCACTGTGATGACGACTGAGTCCAGACGTTTCTCCGTCCACCTTTGGAGACATTTCAGCCGAGCCCGATCCACTTCCTCTGGAGCCCCCAGCTGGTCCACAGGGTTCCCAGTGTTTCCAGCTCTGACAAGAAGACCAGATGATTAATCCGGTTATGAAACTGATTTACTCACTGAATGACACCTTTAAAAGTCAGTGGGTCCTGTTGAATTTATAAGGCACAAAAAAAACTCAAAAATAAGCTGCAAGGAAAAATATCTACAGGTGTATCTCTTTCTATGCTCGGTTGTGCTGCAACTTATTCTAAACCTTAAAACATGTCAAATTTCACAAGAGGCGAATGATGTCTCAATTTGTGTATAATACAATGGTCACTGCGTCTGACACTTAATCGGACTAAGCTCATAATTCGTTTTTTTCACCGAATCCGACTTCTCTCCTTGTCCGTGTATACATGCAGCTGAGGGAATGAAATTATTGACGTGAAGGTGTCCTCCTCCTCAAAACTAGGGGGCAATATTGGTCTTTTCAGAGGCGCTGTTTCCGGACCTTTTTTAAAGATGTCTCTGTTCCTTGTTTTGAGACCGTCCATGTACTTTGTCCATTTCTGTCAGTGCAAAAAGCATAACAGCACTCTTCTCATCGTTCCAAAAGTGGACATTCAGGCAATTCTTCTGAGTCGAAAGTTCTTTAAATGATAGTGCCACTTCTTCTCTGGTGTTTTTGTACCAGGGTTACGGAAGTGTGGCGCACGCACACATGCATTGTCCGATCATACTCCGACTACGCTGGTTACATGGTAGAGAAAATCGAATTCCAATTGCACTATCTGGGTGTCTTAATCAGAGTTCTCAAACTCTGATTATAGTCGGACTAAGGTGTTTACATGCACTTCAGTTGTCCAGTCTTTATCGGAGTAAGGCAATAATTCGGTTTTCTCAAGTGTCATGTAAACGTACTGACTGTCTGTGTGTTTTTTAAATTACACCTCTGTTCTGTCTGCTGAGGCCACGTTTTGTCAGAATTTGCTCGAGACACATCAAACAAAAAGTTGGGTAAAAGTTGAAAGGAAGTCACTTACAGTTGGGCAACTTTGCTGTACTCCTGTCAAGAGGGAGAGAGGAAAACAAACACAAACATTTGTTAGTGTTCATGAGCTTCCAGCAGAGGGGTATACCATGAAGCCAGCTCAGCATACCCAGGCTGTGTTTGTGGAAGCTGGCCTGGCAAAGCAGTTAAGAATATCAGGACCACAAAGCTGTGAACCAAGGCTTTCTGCCTTAGATGAAGAATTTAATCTAAATGAATTAAATGCATGTAGGCTTGTATTATGTGATTCATACAGTGTGTTACTGTAATTGTACATCTTTGCTCTATTATTAAAAATGTGCTGTTACGATGATCTACGTCGTCTGTGGAAGATACTGTCATGCTCAAATTAATAGCATGAAGGTACTTTACAGCTGATTCGGAGCTGTAATCTGGTCCTGACAAGGTTATTACATTAGAATCCGTCACCATGGTGATCCAGCCAGGATAAGACAGCCAGCTTTGTGACATTGAAAACGCTGGGTTTAGGCTCAACAGACCTGGCTTACCCTCTTATCTAGTTTCATGGCATGCCCCAAAAATCTTATTTTTTTACAAACAAAACAAACTCACCATAATGAAGGCCTGATCCTGAACATGTTTGTCTCCTTTGTTGTCAGCAAGCCCCTCCAGAGTGTAGAGTCCCTTCTGGATGGACTGCAGGGAGCTCCGGAGCTGACTTAATTTCTCCTCTAGTCCCCCCACAACCCGGTTTTCCTCCTTGGACACACAGTTAAGTGCTGATTGCTCCTCCTGCTCCAGGGCCTCTCTGATGGCTCCATATTGCTGTTGCACAGCCGCACGAGACTCATTTAACACCACCTAGATAAACACAAAAACCAGTGTCATGTCAAGTGTTGTTCCTTTAGGGTTTATAGTACAACCAACAGAAGACAACAGGGGAAATCTATACCTTTGATTTTTTTTCCTCCTCAAGAAATAGAAACTAATCATCACTTTGAACATTTAAACACTGCGGGATGCTCTTCTGCTCCATAAGAAAAGAAGAAGAAAAGAGAAGAGGAAACCAGGGGGTGTGTTTGGAACTGGTGACAAAACCTAAACCACTAAACGACTAAGTTGCTCTGTTGTCTTTTTTTGCTGATTTTTATTCAAGGTTGCTGACTAAAGTGCAGTTGTTAGACTTTCAAAGACCCTGAGACACCCTCTGGAAGCAAGTCTGCCACTCCTTTCTTTTTCTGTGGATCCATCCTCTATATCCACTAACTAGGACACTCTCACCTCAAGGACTGGCCTGTGGTACCACTGAACTACAAGAAAACTTTTCTTTCTTTCGCTCTCTCTTTCCAACACACACAACCTGTACATACTTTCAATTACAGATTTTTAATTTTTTGGTGTCTTGGCTTTTACTTGTGTTGAGGACTCTTGGGGGACTCTGAATTTTTCTTGAAACAACTGCTGTGGAAATTGTTTTTTAAGAATTTCTGATTTTCCTGAATTTGAGTTGAAAATAGTTGAGGATAAATTAACTTTGGATAATCTCATCTGTATGTTTTGTATTTCATGTTGAGTCAGGGTAAGAAAAAAATATTAGCTTTGAATAAAAACAACTGATTAAAACATGCATGGTGTCTGTGAACAGTAGTGTAGAGTTTTCTCTCTCTTACTTTGAAGGTCTCCTTCTTCTGTGTGAGTTCAGACACTTTGTTCTTCACTTCCTCCTCAGACACCTGTAGCTGCCTGATCTCAGCTTTCAGGTTCCCCTGGAGACAAATGTACACAATAGAAAACAAACACTTTTTAATAGCATGTTTAGCTAAACCACCTTCACTTATGATTCTGTAAAGCTGCTACCAACCCTGAGCTCCCTCTCTGCCTCTCTGATGCTGATGCAGACGTGGTCACGGTGTGAACCAATGACAGTACACACTGTGCACACACACACGCCACACTGACGGCAGTAGATACGGTTTATCTCCTGATGCTCCTGACACCTCCAGGAGGATATGTCCTCCATGGGAGGAACCAGAGTGTGATTCTGGAAGACAGGAGAGTCCAGGTGGGGGCGCAGGTGCTCTTTACACATGGAAGCTCCACACACCAGACAGGTCTTGACAGCAGTTTGACACATGCTTTTTGGGCAATAATGGCAAGGCACAGGGTGGGAATTCTTTGTCTCTGACCTGGGGAAGAGGCCAACATGACTCGAAGATGCTGGAGAAGTTGCAGGATGTTTGGGGAATGTTGGAGATGATTTGCTGACATCGTGTACAGGAGACTTTTCCTTGTGAGGAGTTAAGACTGCAGGAGACGCATTACCTGATGTCACATGTGTATCTTTCTTTGGGGTTTCAAAAAGAGGAGCATCACATATATCTACCTCATTAGAGGTGTCAGAGTCATCTAATAAGATCTCTTCCACTGATTCACGCCTGTTCTGCTGGACTGGGGCGTCACCTGATGTATCACCTGCAGGATGTACATCAGCTGGAGGCACTGCCTGACTATCAGAGATGTCACTTGAAAATGCGCCATCACTCTGCTCAGACTGTGCAGATTCTGGGGGTGCTGCTGCCCGAGATGTTGTCGGATCTGACAGGGAAGTGGTGGGAGTCTCATCATTGCGATTCTCATGAGGAACTTCCAAAGAGGATCGCTTTGTGTTAGGTTGCTCAGGTGGAGGTGTGCTGGCCTTCCTCTTCCCAAGTAGTCGGCTGCTGAGTGAGGGCCTCCTTAGTATTGAGCCGAGTGGGTTTTGGTCATCACTACTGGATGAGCCTAAAAAAAACAAACAAAAAAAAAATTAGTGGGAGAAGGTTGACTTTGCTCTTTTTGGGCAAAAATTCTTACAAATACAAGCAACTAGCTCTCTGCGTCATGTGCAATGTTTGAATACTACTGCAGCACAGGAGGCTTCAGAAAATGGAGAACATTTATGACTTTACAAGGGGTTCCCAAAACCAACCTTTTCGGCTGCGTTTGACTTCATCATCCTGCAGATTTTTCCACAATTGAAAAAGTAATCAGTAGTTAGTTTACCTGCATTGGAACAGGAAACTTAACATTAAGCTGTTGTTTTATTGTTAAAGCCAAACTATGATGTTGGATTTGTCTGTATTTTTCTTCCTGGTTGTTTGTTCAGCGATGTCTACGAAGCAGGACAAAACAAGGGACTCAGGTCAGCTGTTTATTTTCAAAGTTTTCAACAGATATTGCAACGAAAATGTTGGTGGGATTTTTTGTTTTTAAGCTATTTTAATCAAGAAATGAAATCTAATACTGTGACAACCCAGCCCTTAAAGTTCTGACCTTTAATGCCCTCTAAGGTAGCTTTAATTTTTGTTTGGGTGATTTTCACCCAGCAATAGTGATAGAGGGTAAAGTAGGTTTGGGTGGATTTGATAGCTGCATGTAGGCGAATAAGGTCAGTAAGAGTGGTCCTGGAATTTGCATGCTATCTTGATTAAATCCAGCGGTTATGAATAACTATCACAAAGTAGTGACTTTCAGGGGAATTCATATGGTGATAAGAAATGTTTTAGTCAGCTGGTCATTTATATATATACATACATATTAGGATTTTTTTGTTCATGAATGCCTAATTTCAGTTATTTTATTGCATCTTTATAAGGTCCCCTCATGGCACTTTTTTCCCTCCCTTTGGAAATTACACAGTCAAAAAAAGAAAACTACTTTAATTTGTCATGTATTGTACTATTTTGATATATTTTGATGACAAGAACTTTTTCTTGGGTATATTATTTCGGGTAATAATCACCCGGCGATAGTGATGGTGTTACTAATTTTAGCGATAGTGTTCTAGGGTTAAATCCGCACCCACCCACCCGTGAACTCACCAAAACAAACTCTGACATCTACTGACTTGTTTAAGCAAAAACTTTGTGACCGTAACACTGAACCTCTCACGGTGTTTACACTGTAAACACACATTAACTTTAGGTTACAAGTATATCATTTTATCGCAACAATCACATCCCTTATCGTGTGAGCGTGGACAAAATATCACTTTCCGATACAGGCGCTGGCAGCGTTATGTTTTTGGTCGCCAAAGATAACAAAAATATCAAGCATCTCAAATAAACACCTTGTAAACACTATCCGACGTGAATATATTGCGTCATTACGTCAGTGGGGATCACTTACGTTCGAGGGTTCGGTTGGCGTTATCCGCCTTATACACCTTCACGCGGCTTTTCTTCCTGACCCCGTATTATTCTTGCACAAGCAGCTTTATTTTACAAATATATATCAAGTTATTCATGAGTTACCTGCATTGCTGCGAGGCTGGGCCCGTCGACTGTTTGTGGGCGGTCGTGTAAAACTGCGGTCAAACGGCAGAGTCTGGTAGACTGTTTTACACCGCCACTCCGGACAGTGGTAGGGCCCGTTCGGGTTTACACTCCACAAGTCTCCGATACATCGCTGACAGAACCTGTGGTTACATTTCAGAGTGACAGGTTCCCCGGTTAGCTCGTTGCAAAGAGGACACTTGGCCGGGGTGTCTAGTATTGCACCCATTTTGTTTTCCGGCTGATGTTTGGTTTCTGTTTCCGCGATGATGACGGGGGGCAGTGGGGTGGGCGGGGCTTACTGTTTGAATCCCGCTCCTCCTCCCAGCAGAGAGCTTCTTAAAGGTACAGTACACCTAAAATATCAGCAGTGACAGTTCATCTATCAAGATTCCTACATAAAAGATTTAATTGAGATAATAAGTGTGGATTTTGTGATAGCAACATTCAAACAGTAGAACATATTTTCTTTGAATGTGAGCATGTTATACACGATTGGACATTGTTGCAAAATTGGTTGTTATCTAAGCAAATTATTTTGCCCCATCGACTGTATATACTATACTTAAACTTATATATTTATATGTATATATACTTATACTTATACTCAACTATATACTATACTTTTATATACAGTCTATTTTTTGTCCCCATTAAATTGGATGTCGATCAAGATTGGACTACAGTTAAAGGAAAAGAACCTAGACTTCATGGTGAACATTTGAATTGGAAAACATGGAAAACATTTCATTTACAGATGTAAGTACCTCAAGATGAAGCCCCACTTAAATGGATGGATAAACAAACTCAGAATATACAAAAAAATCTTTGAACCACATGAAAAACAAAAGTGCTGTTTTCTTTACTCGACTTTTTTACTATCCTAGAATAAGACTCTCACATTCTCTTTTCTTTTTTTCATGTTCTTTTGTTAATCTAAAAAACTGGTTCAACACTTTATACTCTAAGTATCACCAATGTGCCTTAATGTTTGCATTTTGACGAAAAATAAAACGTTTACAAACAAAAAAAAAGTTCATCTGTTAGGAGTAAAGTTGTTAAAAAATACTTCATATTACAAGCTTAAGTACTACTTATAAAGTTTGAACAAAATGACACAAATATTGGATGGGTGTGAGTCAGTACTATTAAAAAACATTAAGATATTAAGATCAGAGTGTATTGGCCTATATGTTAGAATAAAGAGCAAACCAAACAATATTGTATCCCATTAATACGTATTGGCTACATATCTCAAGTCACAGCCTCATAAGGTTATTCCTTATCTCGTGCTCTGTGTCATTCACGCAACCACAAAAAGTTGTTCTCCTATCCAGACAGCAAGGTAAGAAATGGATGTTGTTGTTAATCTGGAAAGCATCAAGAGAAAATAATAAAAACTTAACTTTGTATTTATTCCTTATTGTCCCTCTTTGCCAACAACATTCCTGTTTGTATGGTGGTCTGGACACATGACTTGGATACAAAAGGCTTAAGTGACATGGGAGTAAGAGGTTAATCTTTCATAACCTTAGACATTTTATCTCTCAAAGGATCTGTGTTTTCTTGCTGTGGCCAGTCACAAGACAGATGTATTTAAATTTAGTGCTTTAAAAATATCATTCTGGGAACATACAGCCAGTATAATTGCTCTTAGGGAATTTTAAAAACATCTCTTTAAAGCTAATCTGCTCAAAGCCACTTAAAAAAATTGTTAAAGTTTTAGACTTTATCCAGTGATTCACACAAAATCTCTTAAACATCGAGTTTTCAGCCTCTAAAGTCATTTGCCAAAAGTAGGTAATATCTCTCTAGGAAAGACTTGTTTTTCTTTGACAAGCCAACAAATAAAACACATACATCATTAAAGCGCTTGTGAACAGCTTTCTGTCTGTGTTGACTTATGGCGACCCTTGTTGACAAAATGGTACCCCTATAGTGTTGTTAAATGACAACAAATCTCCTTCTATTATATTTTCACAGTGAATTTCTCACTCACCACGAATGGGAAAAGTAACTACAGCTGTTTCCTTATCATATCTACCCCCTCACAGCAGTTACAGGCATTAAAAATTACAATACAGAAATTGTCATTCTTGTCATCAATGGTCTCATTATCTTTAACACAAAAAACAGAGGAATCACTGTTCATTTTAGTTTATTTCACCACCAACCAAAAAGAAAAAAACTCTTCTCATGAGCTTTAAGTATTTTCTAGTTTTCTTCATCCTTGGCTCAAAATAGTCACATTACGCAGTACGTTTACATGTGCAAAAAATCAAATTACCACCTTAGTCCAACTGAAAATGGACTTTTGAAAAAATATATGAACACATTTGAATGACTGAAATAGCTCTAAATCAAACTTCTTATAGATGGGTTAACATACCTGGATATTACGGTTTGGTTCTAATTTTTTTCCGTCATGCATACGGTTTAGTTGGACTGCAACTGGCTGAAGCACTCTGCCCGACAAGGAAAGAGCATATAAAAAAAGACAAAACTTTCGTATTGTACAAAGAAATAGTCCAGAGCTGTGAGAGTGACTGGTTTTACTGTTTGACCAAGAACCTGTAAGCCTCTGTCTAACACATTTTGCCGACTTTTTTGAGTTGTGATACATCTACCAGGATAACCCGATAGTTGGGAGCTGAAAGGGGGCATGTCACCACCTACCATAGTGAAGACAAATGTACTTTAGTCAATAATTACATTTTTGCCCAGTGCTTGTTAACTGGGTCAAGGGCAGTGGCCTGGTTCAATAGCCGTGATTGTAGCTCAGTTCAGCTGTGCATGTGAACATACTGTCATCCATGTCCAGACTAAAGGTGTAAAAACAACAACAACAAAAAAAAGGGCAGTCCTCAGACATATGAGTCACAGTACGGTGGTTTTAAGTATTTTTCATCGTTTCTAGTCATCACCAGTCAGTCATCCTTTATGTGTGATGGAGTTCCCCTCCTGCAATGTAACCTGAACACAGAAAATGAACACAGCATGACAACAGCCTTGTACAGTGAAAATCTTTATTAAGTGTTCATATATTCTTATAGGAATCTCTTTAATTGCTCTAAGTTAAACAGAGTTAATCTCCTTCATGTTTTAAAGTATTTGTATCTATTGAACATCTATTTACACAGGGACATATCCACAGGTGAGGCTGGGACAGGCCTAATAGATCCATTACAGCACATTTCCTCCTCAGTCACACTGATTGATATACATTACACGTCATCATGCTACCCTGTACGTCCCAACAAAACAACGGGAGAAAGAAAGTCCTGGAAACACACAGACAGACTGATTTAGTAACACAACAGGACGATTGTGTGTGAGGCTGGCATATCTGTTCACTAGCCCAACAAACTAATGCAGGCAAAACATTCAAACCAACACTCACGTATGTGCATAAACTCACACACTCTCTCTCTCTTACACACACACATACAGATGAACACTCACACAGCAGCTACGAGTCCTGCAGCACACAGTCCTAATAGCCCCCATCACAGTGTAGATAGATACCACAGACTATAAAATATTAATTTCTCCTCAAACTGAAGCGCTGTGCAAAGTTAGCTAGCAGAGCATTGAATGGATTTAATTAAAATTTCTTGAACATCTTCAATATTTACTGTACATACTTTGTAATACAATTTTTTTTCTCTTTCTGATGATAATAGTCTTATAAAACAGTGTTAAATATGTTATTTTTTGTAAATTAGGAGGAAGAAAGTGGCTGAATGGGCAAAGAACAAACTAATATTTTCATTTCATCTTCAAATGTTACATATGAAACACAATAGATTTACATTAACCCGATATAATCTTAAAATGTCTTCTTTTCACAAACAAAACATACATGACACACATTCTGATGGTGGTACACACGGCTAAGTGTTAACATAGTTTAATACTTGTAATTACAGAGTTTATTTATGACCTTTGTTTACATGTATTGTATGTGTGTTACGGAGTCGTGTTTGTGCATGTGAGTGCGTTTGTTTGTGTGTGTACGTGTGCTCGTACTGCATGTATACAATGTCAACCCTGTTCTTTCTCAGGTAGGTAGTGGGTAGTCCATATTCTTCTCATTAGGATAACAGTCTCTGCCCCTATTGTGGTAAATGACATGTAGCACAGGGTTGGCTCTGTAGACACATGGGGATAAAAGTGCTGCAGGCTCTGACTAAGTGCTGGAGATGATGTAGGGGACTGCAAGCATAATGTTTGGGCTTAAGGGAGAACGTTTCACTGGGTTTTAAGCATGGAGATGTGAAAGGCAGGCTGGCTGGTTCTGTAGTATTTTCTCCTCAATAGGCACAGAGGCCTCCCTCCTCTAAGCTCATGTTGAGGGACAGGTACTTCATGGCAACAGACACATGAGGTTTAGGAACCTGGAAGAAACAACACAGAAAAAGACTCAAGTAAGCAATAACAGATGTCCTGAAGCAACTAATTTATTTAAAGAAAAAGAAATTTAAAGTTGAACTTTCTGACTTGTAAACAGTAAACAATACTCAGAAAACAGTCAACATTAAGTAGTATTTAATCTTGTTTGAATGTTAATGATGTTGTTTTACAGGATTTGACTCTAGAGAGAATAAAAGGCTGTCCACACCCAGTTTTCTTGTTGAACTTCTTATTAAAGAACAGTCACATTGTGCGTAATGGATTACATAATGCTTCATTTTAAATCAACATGTAAAAAAAGAAAAAAGAAAAGGTGTATTTTCATTATTTTCATCTTTACCATAAGATTTGGTTAGGCGTTTCCTCCTTCTGCAAAAACAGAAACACAGAAAAATAAGAAAACCACGACAACATGTTTTTCAAGGTCATGCTATTAATAGACTCATGTGTTCACACATTGCCAACGCATCCTTCACTATAACTGGGTGTATTGCAAGTTATTTGTCCACTAGATGGCACCAGAGATGAGCTATTTATTAAATTCCATCAAGCCGTAATACATTATTCATACATGATGCATTCTCAGCGCCCTATACTGAGCAAGGGAACATCATTAAGTTGCATAGTGAGGCTGTTTATTGACTTGAAAAACTGCTGATAATTCCACTCAATTTTTTTCCTCCATGACATTGTCCGTAGATCTTTTATGACCTCTGTTATCTCTTAGTTTAGATGGTCAGAATTGCTTTAAAAATGGCGCACACCTCCCCCTAAGACAAGAATACAGTGGCACCCCTCCTGTAGTTTATGTAAAATAAAAGGTTTGCCCTTTTTCTCTCTCTCATCCTCCTTTTTTCCTTCCAGCTTTTGTTTAACGCCCAACTGGTCACCCATGCCTGTCTGCTTCCATAACACGCAGTGCAGCATGGACATACAAATCCCATTTCCCACTAAAAGACACGCCTGAAGCCAGAACCTCTAATGGTAAATCTGTGCTTAGGCCTGTGATAGTGATGGAATATTAGATATGCATGGACACCACTGTAAAGGCTGGGACTTTAATAGGACTAAAGCTTCACATCATTATAGATTCATAGTAGAATGGCAGAGGAAAGTGTGATAGTTCATTTGAAAGGGTATTTGTACGGATGTTAAAAATCACAAAGAAGATAAGCAGATTAATTCCTTTACTTGTACTGAATCTGAATACAGCTTTAACAAGTTTAATGTCAAAGTAAAAGAGCCCCATTTATATCCTTTTTTCACATTTTGTGAGCTAAAATGTCCCTTTTTTAAGTCTCACAACAGTACATTCATAATGAACTGGTAAAGAACATTTTATTTTAACAGCACTTGGACAGAGATGTTTTAATCTTAATTATTTTCATTTTAAACATGTGTACGAGTAAACAGAGTAAAAAACAGTGATGCAAACTCAAGAGTGTCTGCCGCTCATTAATGTTTGTTGATAACTGTACATTTGCCATAGTGGCAAAGCTTCTGGTTATGTTGAAATTCCTTTGAAGCTTCCTAAATAAAGTGTTTTTCTTCAAGCCAGCATCAAAAGCTTCTTACATCTGCAGCTTTGGCTTTGGGCACACTCAGTGGGATCCTTTTATGAATTCAGCTCATTTAATGTGTTTGCCAGACCAGGGAATGTTTTATCGCCACCTTAATGAGTGCACACTTTCTAAATTTAGGCTGGTGCAAAGTCGTGATAAATGAGGAGGCTATTCTCTAAGCTTGCTTCAGTGCACAGTTTCTCATTTACTTAAAGGTTATACCTATTACTTTTGGAGCAATTTTTTTTGTCATACTAAGGCCAAAAATGAACAGGAGCTCCATATCAAAATACAGGATTAAGGTTTAAGTATGAGTATGTTTACAGTCAGGTGTAGCAAAAACAAATTTATTGATCATCTAACAAAGAAATTCTTCAAGAAAGTTCCTCTGCTGTAACTGAAGCAGCCCTTTAGTTCAATATACCAAACCGAACATGCTCCTGTGGTGTTACTCTGACCTCTGCTTTGACTGTCAGTGAAGTGGACAAGCGCGGGGTGACATTCCCACAGGAGATCAATCAAATATCACATCTTTATCAAATCAGATGGCGCTTTCTCACCCTTGCTCTCAGCCAGTAGCTCTTCTGTCATGAGTCCGTCCTGCCGGTTCCCCAGGACGAAGGCCAGGAAAGACAGGATGAGAGCATCCAGTATGCCCATGATCGCCAAGATGTAGGCCCAACGCACTGAGCACGCTCCCAGGCTGTACTTATCCGTCTGCTCTCCACACATCCGCCGCACCTCCTCACTGTCCCAGCCGTCAGGGTAGATCATACAGCCTAACACCAGACACACACCTAGTGACACGCAGAGGGGGGAAAGAAAGAGGAAAGAGAGAGTCTGTAAGATTCTGAGGACATGTAAGTGAGGTCAAGGGACGAGGTCAGCAGATTTTTGGGAGACAAAGAAGTATAATTGTTGCAAGTACTAAGTCTGTAATGTGGGGGTTGGTCTAGCGGTTGAAGTTCCTCCCACATGTATAGAAGCCATAGTCCTCATTGCAGCGAACACCAACTCTCCTCCCAGCCATGTACCTTTGCCCACTCTCCTATCTGATAAACACAAAAATAACCCCCCAAAACAGGCTGTAATGTTGTGTTATATTTCATTTGTCGCATAATTTTTAGGCCCTTCACTTATCGGCTAGAAAAAGTGTCTAGTCACAATGAGTGCCAGCGGGTTAGCAGTAATAATTGCAGTAAACAACTTCAGCAACAGTCAGAGCCAAATGCAATAGCAGCAACAATGTCATAACAGCTCTAATAATATAAAATGTCTCCTAAAATTCCCTCTCTTTTCTTGCGGTTTGCTTACATGAGTGTAATGTCTCTCTCTCTTACTCTCTTTCTCTCTCTCTTAGGTTTTAAGTAGTGCTAATATCATTCCCAGCTCTCGCCCAAAGGGGTAAAAATTTCTCTCATCTTTATTTTTTGATCTCTCTCATCTTTAGTTTAAAAGAGGTCTCTTCTCTGAGGTGATGCTGCGGCAGAAAAGCACAAGAAGAACCAAAGTCCCTCTTTTTTTTCTCCCTCTTTGGATATTAGCTAAGCATTCCTCATTCTCAGCTTTTGCTCAAGGGGGAAAAAAATCGCTCTCATCTTCAATTTGGCTGAAGCTCTGCTGTAAGGTGGTGTTCCAGCATAGCAGCAGTAGACCTGGGAAAAAGAAGCTGACTTCACATTTATCCAGAGAGCATTGCACATCAATAATAAAACATTCTCTCCACTTCTTAATCCCCAATACACTTGCTTGCTACGTTCGCTCCATTGTTGCTATGTGAGTGTTTGGGATCTGCATGTTCATAGTCATGCATTCTGCTTTCATTTGGACACATTTGAGTGTCACATTTACGTTATTTTACTTGCATCTTTTGCGAAGCCTTGCAACCACAACTGAGAACAATATCCTTCTATTCTTGTACGCATGCAAAAGCTGCCCACTCACACATACTAAAACATGCTGCAGTTTGTTACAGTATAGTGCTGCAGTGTGTAAAAGTGCTAGAAGACATCAGAGGGATGTGGAGGGAGGTTTCAGTGAGCCGAAAGTGAGCGAGAGGAAGATTACAGAGCAATATCTGCCGCAGACAAACTGTATACCTCACAAAGCAGACTTCCTCCACCTCATAGCTCTCGCTGTCATAACAAATTCATGTGCACACGGGAGTTGAAAGAGCGAGGACTTGGGTACTTATTCAGGCTGATGGAGGAGCACAGCAGTGAACTCTCTCTATAGCAGACATTTCAGAGTTATTTGCAAAAGAAAATATTCCTCCACATCACCTCAAAGCTGAGTGAGCAACAACCATGTAAATCAGTGTTAGATACTCCCACACCAATTGGTTTTATGAATGACTCGAGCTTGTACCGTTTGCTATCTGCAGGCAGCACCTCTGAATCAAACCTACGGTCCTTTTTTTCGCTTGTGCAGGACTTCGCTAAGTCCTGACAAGTTGCGGTAGTCTCAAAAGATCCCACGTCACTCAGCCCACCAAAGCACTTTATACAGTAGAGCGGCACAGTCTGTCAAATGTCCTCTAGTACATGATTCAGCTCCTGAGTGAGCATCACTGAGGACTTGACAAACACTGTGATGAGTAGAAGGGCAGGCAGCAAACAGGCCACTTCCATCTGAATCACCCTGTCTGCCCCTCCACCACCTCGAACAACAAACTTATTGACAAAGTGACAAACCCTGTGGTTGACTTTGACTCTGCAGTGTTTTCACATCAAACCACCTTTACTGTTAAGTGGGCCAGGAATAACAAGCTTGCTGTTCACAGACACACACTGCTTGTATTTGTCCTGTGTCTGACTTTTTAGATTCCTCAATAAGACGTGAGTTTTAGAAACAGGCGAGACAGCCACAATAGTTTTAACAACACCAAGGAAGGTCTGATGCAGTCGAAACAGAACAAAACAAACAAAAGAAAAACACCAACAAAGACCAGCAATCCAAAAAGGGTATTTATTTCTCAATCTGGTTTGCACTAACATTGTTTTTAAGTCGGACAGAAACTGTATAAAAGATGGCATCCCCTGATAGAAGCCAAAAAACTTGGAGCTCCCCCTACTGACTGACAGCAGTGCAGATCATAAAGCCAGCCTTCGCCAGATGTGACAGGGGTCATAATTTGATATCAAAATTCAAGCCAAACGGATTATTTCAAACATTAAGTCTGTCGTTATGGTTCAACATCAGTAAGCTCGGCAAGTTTACAGTAAATTCACTGTTTGATGCTAAAAATGAGGAGTGAAACTGTAACTTACTGCTTTGTTAACATAACAATATAACTACATGTTACTTTGTGTAACATAACAGGGTATCACCAAGTTTAGTAAGCATCCCATAATCTAGCATAACATAATTTAACCTAACAACTGAATGTAAAATAAATTAGTGTAACTTGATGTATCTTTACTTAACTTAGTGTAACTTAATATAACATTAAATACCACAATGTAGAGTAGCATTATATAATCTATCATTAGACAATGTACCATAACAAAGCAAACCTTTACAGCTAACAATTGAATAGCAAACTATGACTAAGCGAAACTATTACATAGCATGCATACCATTACATAGTGTACTATAACGCTGAGTACTATAACATAGTGAACTATAACATGGTGTACATTCCATGATGTTACATAACTTAACACAGAGTAACAAAGACTTGTTCGCTTTGAACAACCTCATCTGCGTTTCAGACTAAATTAATAACCTGCTAAGCTATATACTGTGCCTCTGCCATTATCCGTCATTGTCATTTTATTTCATGAATGTGTGTCGCATAAGAGGCTCAAACTCCTCCACAGCTCAAAGCTTACTGCACATGTTTATAGGCCCCGAAAACACCACTGATGTTAGTGCTTCTTGCAGGAGTTATGACCTGATTTTCAAGCGATTAGAAGATATTGTGCATCTATATCTTTGGAATATGGACTGGATATAGGAAGTGGGTAAAGCTTCTGGTTTCAAAAAGTGAAACACAAAATAATAACTCTAACCTGCAATAAGTGACGGTTTTGTGACTATTTTAGAGAAGCAGTAAGACCCCAACTCTGGTATATCTGGAACAACTTTTGATTATTATTATTATTAGCCTACGCCATTACCATTTCAGTTGATATGATGAACTAGGGCTGGGCCATAAACGGAAAATTTACGGATACCAAAATTTACAACAATAACCAACGTCATTTTGCCCATATCGGTATATTCTGTGTCAAAAAAATAAATATAAGTCGGTTCTGGGTGTGTGTAGGTAGGCTATGGTCTCATGTCCCTTTAAGACGCTGTCCTACATCGTAGATGTGACTCCACCCCATCCAGTCCATAACAAAGAGGTAAAGACTGCTGAGGAGATGGAGGACGGTTCAAAAGTTGTAGCAGCTGGAGCGGCGGCTGAAGTAGACAAAGTTAATGTGGGAGGGGGTGAGCAGCTTGTGGAGTAGTTATCGTCCATTTATCGTTATCGAGGTGAACTGATCAATATATCGTGATATTGATTTGAGGCCATATTTGTGTAAAGCAAAGAGCAGCTGCAGATACAAGTGATCTATTTTCTCTCCATTGCAATGCAAAAATAACTTGATGTTTTGGGTTCCTGTCAAATGGATAATACAGCTGCCTGTTAAAAAAACCAAAATACGAGCTGTAAAATTTAAATGGAGTCGAACATAAAAGCAGCCAACTTATATAACTTGACAGTAAAACTGACTTTGGCATCTGCTCTTTTACAGAACTGCACATCCTGACTGAGTGCTGAGAAGCTGAACTCATCAGTCAGCTGTCATGTTATCTGGTGACCCAAGGGTGAAACTATTCATGCATCCGCTGGGTGTTCCTGCATATGGGAATTTGAGAAACGGGCAATCATATCTTCACTGGTATGAATACCGCTCTCACTCAGGAACAAGAACGAATGGTTCTGCTTGAATGTTGTGCATATCATGGGGGTTTATATAACAGCTTTCACTTCAGAGAGGGAGTGGCATGGAGGACCAAATAACATTTTTCACACAGTACTCTTCTCTCTACCTCATGATGCATTTACTACAGAGGTAACAAAAGCTTTTCCAGATCCTTCTGGGTGTCTCCTGCATGCCTTTGGCTCGATTCAGCAGCATCATGAATATTACATCGAGACTCAGTCGGAGAGAGACTGCGGGTGCAGGAAAAAGACAAATAAAAGAAGTGTACACCGACACAAGCTGATATCATCAGGGGAGGGAGACCAAAAGAGAACAAGAGATACAAGAGCAGTAAAATATCTGTCACAGTCACTTCAGAAATATCTCCCCCAAAGCCTGCCGCTGCAGATACACATCTCTGAGGAATGTACTGGCGAGGATTAAACCGACAGAGGGTGCCACATATGCCGCTCCTGTTTCCAGAAACAGCTTGAGGTTTGAGGAGGAGCACATGTCCCCTCCATGCACAGTAAGCCTGGTGACAACTAATCCATAACCACAAAACAACGCAATCCAGCAGGCCTATCATTGCATCTTCTTACATAATGAGGCGCTTAATCCAAATTCACGGAGTACAGTCGATGTGGGCCTCCTAGTAAAGCAAAGATGGGTTCACAGAGGCCATTATATTATTTAATCATCGTTCATGTTCTGAAAACACGAGTCAGTTTAATTCATTTAAAGATTATGCGATCAGAATTTTGCAAAGACAAAGGTTAAAGTTCAACGCAGGTGAAATGTGCTGTGGTATAAATTAGAGAAAATATTCAACAAAGCTGTACAAGACTCTGAAACTCTGTAATGCAGAAGTGACTGCCTGGTATTCTTGCACGTTTAATCAACAGCAACAATGAGCCAAACATGACAATGAATCATCGGATTGATTTAGAATTGCAAATCCAGTTTTATTCAGCTAAATCCCTATCTTTGTGAAATCAGCTGACAACATTATGCTTCATGTTTGGGCTTCTATTCAAATCTATGACTGTGGATCAAAGTCATGCACTAGAAGAGGCCTCACGACTTCTGTACAGTCAACACAAAAGTATCAAAAGCTGCATGACTATAAGTCCCAAGTTCACTTCTTGGTTCTTACTTTATTTTATGAACTATTCTTCTTTAACCCTTGGTTTGTTTCAGAATTGGCGCCCCTTGTGGACAAAGCAGCCTTTGCTTATCTTGTCCTCTACATGCTCAAGCAGAGATTTTTTGACAAATAATCTTGTCCTGCTGACTCAGTCTGTCCTATAAATGTAAAAAAAAATACTCCTCATAGCAGCTTTAACTTGATCAAACAAATATGTAAATAGTGCATTTATTTATGCAAACTGTTGTAATGCCTGTGCAAATAGGCTTGAGGCTTGATTGAGATATTCACAATTAAAAGTTCATACTTTTTAATCTACTGCAGGTGTTGTCAGATAAATGTACTAATTGTTTATTTGTCAAACATTAAATTTCTTCTTGTTTGGAGCCCAGTGGAAGACTCAGTGGAAGTCGATGTATGCTATAAATATCAAATATGTCATTGGAGAAAAAAAAAATTCTTAAACAATTGAGAAATAAATGTTTAAAATGACATGTAACAACAAAACAGGCTGTCGAAAATCACTAACACATCATTAACATTTAACAAAGATCTTAATAATGCTAATTGAGGGGATTTACAATAAGGTGTTGCCAAGAGAGCAGGATCTCATTTTTGGTGTCTGCCAGCCTCACCAGCTCTCGCTGCATTGGAGCAGAACCTTCTGCTGCAGTAATAACTGCTGTGCTCCAAATACTGGCTACAGAAATAGCAGCACACCTGACAGAATGCAGCTGTCAGTCGAAGCTGAGACGAAATATTAACTGACGGCATTATCCGACCCTTTCAGCTTTGCCCTTCTCCCCCGTCTCTCTCCCGTTGTCTCCTGAGAGGAGGGGCAGACAGGCGCAGAGGGAGGACAGACAGGTTCTGAGGCAGGGCGACGCACAGACAGAAACAGAGAGAGGCAGAGGGGAGGTGGGGAGAGGCAGAACTTACGTAGGGTGCCGTGCCCTGTGAGTGGCCGCCAGCAAGTAGCCAGCACCACACACTAACGTCGTGAGCACTGGCTACCATATGCTGGAGCCCCTGGGCAGAGCTATTCTCAGCATTTACTCGTTTCTGTATTTTTCACACACGCGCACACACACACACACACACCTCTCTGCTCTCTATCCCTGCAAACACTGGGATCATAGGAGTGGAAAACTGGACTGAAAAATGCTTGTTGGCTAACAAGGGTTTATGTAAGAGGCTGAAGGTAGGGCAGATTCTGAGGCAGACAGGCAGATGGTACAGGATGGTGCAATAGCAGTAGACTTGTCAGAAGCACAAAGACTCACTTCCCCCAAAGAGACAATTTAATCCCATCCATACAGAAAGAATCCCATCGCCACAGATAATCTCATTGTTATTGGTGTAAATTGCAGGTGACTGCAGGTCCAATGTGTCCTTTAAAACAGCAGCTTGATTGGATTTGTGCATCTGTTGTGCAGACAAAGACAAGATAAACCACACATACTGGGCTCTGCATGTGGACGACTAAAGGCCTTTTTCTGTTTGACTGTGTTTTCAGCATGTCATCTATTGAACTGGGTGGCAGGTGGAGACACACTGTTATTTGTATTTCCATGCTCTTTCATCACTTAAACATCTGCAGCACATCCAAGCCGCCATGAAAAAGGATTCACATTTTTAACTGCAGTCTTTTATGCATCCCATTTTCTCCTCTCCTCATTTAAACAGCTTTAACAAGCTGAATTATGAATACACACATCCCACACTGCTCTATCTCACACTGTATGTGCATTCAGTTCCAGTGCACACACACACACACACACATGCACCAACATGGTGAACATGTGCCTCTTTGTGCAAAAGAAATGCACAGCGGCTCAAGCCCTGAACATCAATTGTCACTTCATTGTAACACGTCTTGATGCTGATGAATAAGAGAGTTTGTTCACTGAGTCATCGGTCTCAGTGGACAAACTGGCATTTAAGGTGAAAAGTAAAAGTCAGCATTAAAAACAAAGTCACTACAGATGCCCTGAGTGTTTATCTCTGTGGGGCCTCCAATAATAATGCATAGATAACTTTGCTTTAATGTAACAACGAATGATACACTCCCACAGGTGAAACAGTGACCTGAGTGTAGGAAAAGGCTGACTCATTCATTTCAAAGGTTTCTTCTTACAGCCTCTTTCTTACAGGTGCTCCTTCAGGAGTGGAGAGAGTGATAGAGAGAGACACTAATGTTATTACTAACTCCCAAATAAAAGAAAACACCAGCCTGTGATTGTTTTTCATTGGCGGGTAATGTGATCCTCTGCCCCCAAAGACATGCTACGTCTCTGATGTTTGTTGTCCACTTTGCTGTTCTCAGCCTAAAGCTCCAGGCAGAGTGAGACCGCTGCCAGTGCTGAGGCACAGTGTGGCTGGGTGCTCATGACTCATGTTGCTCAGACTGGAGAAAAGCAGGCCCATGTAAACACAACATAGCTGGAAAGGAGAGGTGAGAGCGGGAAAAGATTAAAATTTCAAGGACCAAACTTTTGATACTGCAGGTTTTTACAGTTTAATTCTTAACGCTCGAGGATTTCTGCTGGCACTTAAATGCAACAATAACTCAGCGTTAGCAAAAACAGTGCTTGCTCTCAGGCATGCATCATCATACCAACTCAGTGATTCAGTGTTTTTGAACTAAATGGACTGAAACATATAAATTGCCCAATGAAGCACTTTTCTCGCTGGTTGATTTTCAGCTTTGACGTAAAGCAACATATTTTTTAATGAACCAACATTTAAAAAAATCTTTGTCTTCACATATCAGCTGTTTTCTTTTCCAGATCTTATAAAAAGAAATACTCCAGTTGAAAATCATTGAATAATTTGTTGAGAACAAAATGACCTAAGAACAATTGATGGAAAACAAAATCTTTAACCCACTGAAGGATGGATTCAGATTTACACTAAAACAACAAAGTGGAAAAATTAAGATCACAGGCTGATTCAACTTCTGTGAATTTCCTCTGGAACATCACGCAATTTTACATGATGTCCCAAAGGTGCTTGATTAGATTCAGGTCTAGGGAATGGGTGCGCCGGCCAATATCATCAATGCCCTCATCATCCAGGAACTGCTGACACACTCCAACTACATGTAAGAATATGTGTAGGTGTATATATTTAATAACTGTTTTAGTATTATTATATTAAAAGTGGTTTAAATTGAATATCCAAAATCGCGCTCTGAGCTGAAGGTCTACCAAAGCCTCACTGTTTTTCATCTGTTTCTCTTTGCTCTGATTGTTTGTGGCGTTCGGAGCAGCTTTGGTCTGCATCCCTAAAACTTGATGATAATCAAAAATTAACTGAGGGGTTCCAGATTAATGTGGATTAGTAAATAGGTCAGGCGATGCCAGGCTAGTATTTTCCAGGATTGCGCATGATTATCTGCCACAATCCAAAAGGATTTCAGTTGCTAATTTGAGACAGCAAAAGTCTGAACTCTTTCATCTCTTTCTGCTACCAAGGGAGCCTGTCATCACGGTTTGATCCTCAACTCTGCTTCACTCTCTGCAAGCTCCCAAGTTATTCTGGTGTTCCTTCATTTACATTTTGCAGTGGTATTCATGGGCTCACAGTGCAAATTTAGTTCTTCTTGTTTTCATCTGAAATCTATGCAGCTCTCTGTAATTATATGGATGTTTCCACTATATTTCTAATCACTTAATTCTGCTGACAGTATGGTTCCCACTTCACCTACAGTGAGCTGTAAGTCGTCAAATAATCAGGGTGTAGAATGAAACTAATTAATCTTATCTTCGCCAATGCCAGTCCACTCTCTGATGAAGTTGGAGCATTCATGCAGAACAATTAATAGGAAAAATTGACGCTTCTTACTGGCTTCAAAGATGAGCAAAAGTGTGCCAAAGGATGGCCAGCGACCATGACAATTATACGCCATAATTGCGCCCAGATAAATGGCACAATTAAAATAGAACAATCAATAAACGAAGACTAAATGTGGTGTAAAAAAATGAGTTAACACTTTAGCCTGATTCATGGTTGTAGCCTTTGCTGTTAAAAGGGACCAAAGACAGATGGTCAGAAATCCTGGGAAAGTTAAATTCATTCTGATTTACAGTTTAAGTCAGTGCATGTGGCTGTGAGAGTGAAATAATGAGATTTATGAAGGAGTTGGAGCTGCACAGTTTCTCACAGCTTAGACAGAAGAGCCAGACAGCATACTGGACACAAATTTTAATCTGTTCTCCAAAAAATATTCCCTGAAAAGATTCAGGGAAAAGTAGAACATGAGAAACTTTTAAAACTGATTCCGAAACGATCTTTCTCTGGAAAATGAGAAACATGCATCTGGAGATGAGCTGTCCACAGTCCAAATCTATTTTTGCTTCAGTTGCTGGCAAAAACTTGCTGATAGCTAAAGAGGAGCAGGAAGCTTCCAGGCTTCTCTGTCTCCTGCTCTGTCAACATCTTCGGCAATTTTCTGCACAATGAGCACATAATGCCTGCAGCTTACCTCCCAATTCAATCTGAAGGATTAGAAGGAACAAGAAATTGTTGGTTTCAATTCTTCATTCCTGTATCAGGACAAGTCTTGGTAGGAAAAACACATAACCCCACTTGTGCATGCCATAGAGTGTATCTGTAAACCACAGAGAGCATTTAGATTTACAACAGAGAGTAAACTTAATTAGGGAGAGATCTTGATAAATATTATTTTGATTCAAGATTTTTTTAAGAAGTATGTTGTTTAGATCCTACAAAACTGTAAAAGACACTTCTTTAACAGCAGACAAAGACAAGAACAAAACATACATATACTGGAAATTCAGTTATCAATCAATTCAGAAGCTGGACAACAAGGTAGTCAACTCAAAAACTAGAATATCCTGAAGAAGTTCATTTTTCCTCCCATTGTTTAATTGAAAAATTGAAACATTAAGATTGTAGAGCACTTCATGCTTCCACCTGCTGGGAAGCTTAATGGAGATACAGATTTGGCACCTGCCAACAGCACCAGAACTACTAGAATCTGGTTTGCTGACCATGATATTATTGTGCTTGATTGGCCAGCCAACTGTCCTGACCTAAACTCCATATGAATTTTCCAGAAGGTCGACATTTTTTTAAATATTCTAATGTTTTAAGACGATGAATATTAGATTTTCGTGAGCTATAGTCATCAAGATTTAGACAAAAAAAAAAGTCTTGAAACATTTCACTTTGTGTGTGATGAATCTAGATCTTATCTGAGCTTTAGGGGTAGAGTTTTTGAGCCACACTTGTATACCAGATTTAACCTACGGAATTTCTACTGATGGGCAAACTTCCTTCAATCACGCAACAGATGCAACCAGCCGATGACAATAAAATTTGCTTAAATGAAAAATCAATTTGGTAACACTTTACTGCCTATCTCTTCATGTGTTTTGCCTATTGTTATAAAGCCTTGTGATAATTAATGAGTGTTTATGATGATAGCTATACAAGATAATAAGCAAATTATAACACATCATGATTATATGTATAATGCATTATCTACGTGGGCATTGTCAGTGAGTTGTTAACAGTTATAACACATTTTAATACCTGACCTTGTAAGTCATGAGTGTTATGATTATTGCTATAAAGCATCATGATCATGTATGAGTGTTTATAACTTTAGTTATACAGTGCTATAATGTGATTATAACACATTAAACATATATTTATAATGCGTTATAGAGATAGGCGTCAAATAAAGTGTTACCATAAACTCTAATCTGTTGTGAACTGCAAACTAATTGTTCAAAGATTTGACCTTGAAATTGCTTTACTCACTCATTAAGAACAAGATCAAGTGTGAGGATAGTCTAACAAAGTACTTTTTCTATCACAAAGTTAAATTTGAGCAACTTTTCATGTCTAGAAACTTTTTTAAAAACTCTTAATTTATCGGTCAAATGGTGTATAATCAAACACTGAATGTGCTCTGAATCTTAATGTCCACACAGACACTGCCTTAAATATTATACATTGATTAAGCAGGCTGTGACTGCCTCAGGTGAAACTCAGAAGCAAGGACCCACTGTGCTCTGAAACTGTCAAGTGTCAACACTCGAGTAATACAAGGTCGACACAGGAGAGGGACATGTTCCTCTTGAATAAAAGTAGCTCTCTGAGTTAAAGCAGGGGTGTGGATGCAGAGGGAAAGGAAGAAAGGAAGGAGTGTGAGTGTAAACCGCAGTGAGCAGAGCAGGAGGGAGTCAGAGAGGGGTGGAGGGCTTATGTAACAGGTTTAGATGCAGCCTGTACCTCAGCAGAGGATAAAGATCGGCAAGGGCAATGGGGATCAAAAGAGGCCTTTGAATTCTCTGTGAAAAAACTGGTAGGGCCGCTGGTCCGGGTATGATAAGAGAAAACAACCACGAAATAGAAAGGTCTCCTCCTCTCAGCCAACAGGTACATTACTTAAGCCAGGTCTCTCGTTTTAATCTCAGTGGGACTTCCTGGTTAAATAAAGGCTGCATAAAGTAATAATAAAAATGAGAGTTTCCAAACAAGACAGACTGAGAGAGACTACCACCGATGTTCTAGTTACAACAACATTTTCCAGGAAAGTAGGAAAGTTAATCTGTAATGAAAGTAAAATACAAGATCTCATAAATTCCCCCTCCAGACAGGATTTTTTGGTAGTGCTTCAGGGCAAAACTGACTCAGAGCAAACAACTAGAAGACAGAGATAATTTTTTTCTTTCGTATTCCACTAAACACAAATTTAAAATTTTATGTAAATTTAGAAAACTCCACTTTTCAAAACCTCTTACAATATGTAATTGAATAAAACTACTCTGTACTTATTTGTTAGTGCCACATATCCATATCACTGGACCTCATTTTTGATAGCAATATATGTCCGCAGGTTTATAGTGTTTACATCAACAAGTACCCTATAAATTTAATAAAGTGCAGCACTTGTTCTCGGTGTACTCAGCTCCTCTCTTCACATATGTTTATTAATATCATCACTGTCACTTTGTCCTAGAAAGTTTCTCTGTGAGTCACGGTGTCCTAGCTGTCCCTCCTCTTCCTCCCCCTGTGGAACAAATCAGCAGCTTCCTCAGCCTGAGCTCTGGACTCAGCTGGACCACCTCTGAGATCACAGGGATTAACTCTGGTAAATCTATAGTCCTGCAGGGGGCAACAGGGACACAAAACACAGGGGAGTCATGATGAGGACTTGGCTGGAATTAATAATTTGTACTCCGCATACAGCCAAACTCATGAGGTGTGGGCTAATTCATCTGCACTGATTTGTTTGAAATCCAAAAATCATGATTAAACCAACTCCTCTGCATCGTCACAAATAAGCATGAATTTGGCAAAAATCCAAAATCCACGCTGTTCCCTGCTGTCCAATGAGCTCTGAGCTGGATCATAGTTCTGTAATTCCTCCCTAATTCCTTAATATATGTGTCTCTTAATCGCAAAAACACAGGATGGGATGAAAGTTGATTCGATTATCCGTCAAAACGAGAGGAAACTTGTGAGAAAGCGAGATTGATTGACTGAGAGTCACAGCGAGGAGTTTGTACTCCAGAGATCATCCCCATCTGTGAAGTGGGTGTTAGTGTATCCACATTATCGGACTCAAAAGGAAAGCAGTGGGTCAGCACATTCAGAGAGACCCAGTGAGAATATAGATCTCCTCTGTAATTATCCTGAACCAGCTGTCATCACTGCCACTGATTTAAGGATTTGAGGATAAATCTGCAGAGTTATGCTTTCAGGTTACTTGTTATGCTCCTTCCATCAATTTTCACCCTGTTTCTCACCCTTTCATTATCACACAAAAGCAAATAAAGTTAAAGTAAATAGCACTGATGCGTCTTTGTGTAATTACAGCAGACAGCGTTCATCCATGTGGTTTCTCTATCTTGGTTACACAAATCTGCCCCACTGGGGATCTGACTTGATGTGCTGCAGAGAGACATGAGTCCTCTCTTTGCACGTATAGCTGCAGCAACATGACTGACTGGATACATCAGGCTGTTCTTAACATGGTGATGATAACTGGCAGGTATAAAAGCGGCACAGGCGGCTGTCAAATAGCAAATATGTCTGAGGTAAGATTTATCTCCTGTCACAGACTGGAGTTTGGGTGTCTGGCTGCTCCATAATTTAAGACAGGAGGCTGACAGTTCTGTTTAGTTTAGTTAATGAATAAAATATACTTTTCTAGTTTAATGAGTTAGTGTGTGTTGATCATGAGGCATAGTCCTTAATCCACTTTTAATATGAACAACTATATTCTGCAGATTTATGCAATAACACAAATAGAAGGAACCTTTTGCAAAGCTCAAAATATGTTTGAGAAATACTTTTCTTGGTCTTTCAAAAAAAATGAAAGTTGGTTTTGGATGTGTGTAGGTAGTCTATGGTCTCATGTCCCTTTAAAACGCTGTCCTACGTTGGAGACATGACTCCACCCCATCCAGTCCGTAACAAAGAGGGAAAGACAGGTGAGGAGATGGAAGATGGTAGTGGCTGGAGCGGCAGCTGAAGTAGACGAAGTTAATGTGGGAGGGGGTGAGCAGCTTGTGGAGTAGTTATCGTCCATTTATCATTATTGAGGTGAACTGCTCAATATATCGTGATATTGATTAGAGGCCATATCGCCAAGCCCTAGCTCAAAATACATTTGGGAAATACTTTTCATGGTCTTTCAAAATACTTCAAAGTCAAAGTGGATAGACAGAGATAAATCCTCACAGTAAACACAACGTGGGTGCAGGTGTGTGAAAACCATACACTGTACAAAACATTGGCATGGTCTCATTGACCTCTAAGGTGGGATTAAGCCGAGGCATCCATGTTTGAGCTGCTGACTCTGACTAATTTTCTACTTTAACAGATAAAGAGGTGGAGATAGGACAAACATCAACAATGTGCCAACCTGTCAATCAATCAGCCACACCCTTTATAAAGCATTATTATGTGGGCATGACTCAGCATTAACATGACCAAAACAGATGAGTCATAATGGAATAATCCAATGCAGCCTTGTTCATACAGTTTGGTTTAGTTTTTTGTTCCTACACACTAATCAGTTGGTGAAAAAGCTTGGTTTCTTAAAGCTCATCCACTCTGAGGATGTTACCTCTCAGAGTAATGCATTGAAGTGCATATTCAGTAGAGTGTCCAAGTCCATTAGTAGGTGAAAGCAATGCAGCTGTTTGCTGGGAGGTCAAAGTCCTGCCTCATTTTTTGTCTGTTAAGTGGCACCTCCTATTTGTTCTAATTTGTTTTCACAATGGCTCTAACTGATGCTTTGTCCATGTTTTAGTTGGTATATGGCTCTGCAGAGGAGAGAAATGAGGATAAAGATGAGACTTGTTTTATTTAAGTAATATATTTTCAGCCTTTTATGCCTTTTTTTAAAAAATAGATAAGACAGAGGATAAAGCAGGAAAACAAAGAGAACGTGGCATGTGAGAAAGAGGCCATAGGTTGAATCAAATCAGGGCGGCCTACATGAGGACAAGAGCCTCTGAACATGGTGCACCAATAGGTCAAACCCACACCACTAAAACTGTTTTTGCACCATGCTGTTATCTTGCCAAATTCTGCTATAAAATGTGTATTTTAATTTAGCTCTGACAGATTTCAGACTGTCAGATTTGCACTTTTGCTTGGCTGCAGTTGTCAACAGCAGATGTTGCAATTTGGTAAGAAAAGGCTCATTCACTCAATCCAGATGGAGGTGAACAACTCTGCACTTGGTAGATTTAAGTTAAAGATGGTACTGATTGCAAAAGCATTGATGCTGATGATATTGTAGTTCAATGATGAGAATCGTTGTGTTGTTGATATTTTAGTGACGATTATAAACAATAAGATTAATTACATTGAAAGTAATCTGCAGCACTTGCTTATCCCACTGAGCAATAGACGGCTATTAGACATATAGTTTTTTTTAGACCTAATTTAAACCATCTAGATTCTGTATATTTTTAGACGGTGCTCTTTAACCCATTACTTGATAACTATTTATCTCAAAAAGCAACTGTGAGATGCATAACTGATCTCCAAGTACTTAACCAAAATAATTATGATAGCCGTTGAGCAATATACAGTGTAGTATAGATATAGCCCAGATTTAGACTTGGTGTAAATTTAGACATCTAAAAGTCTTTTATTTTTAGACCTGTGGTGGCCTGATTTTAGACCAGTTGCCTGGGCTACATTTAGATGTCGATTCGACCTCTTTTAGACCAAAAACTGCTCAGTGGGATGTTGTGTTCTCCTTCACTTGTGTCATTTATTTACTCTCAGACATTGCCTCAGACTCGCGTCTGCGAAATGTAAATGTAATATTGTAAGAAGGAGTTAAGACGCAGAAGGTCAATTTGGGAATAGAGAAAAGCTGCAAACGCTGGTAAATGACAGAAAGTCTGCTGCAAGTTTTTGTGATTTATTACTTGTTTGGGGAAATTTCTTCTTTGTTTTTCACTTCCAGATTGAGGCAATTACGGGCAAAGCTTTATAGCTCTTCATCACATTAAAGCCATTCTTTTGTGCATTTAATGAAAATATCAATTTATATGCAAATTTTTGCTGAAGCATACTGTTGTTTGGATCTGACAGTTGAGGATGATGAATGTGGTCCAAAAAGATAATGAAGACCTGGAGAGTTGGCCACATTTTTGCATGCAGACAATCAATTCACCTCTATTATGTCTGCAAAATGAAGTTTAAGCTGCCATTTAACTCGTGCTGCACAAAAAAGACACATAGAAAGCAAAGCAACAGGTGAAAGCAACAGACCCGACTTCAGACAAGCTCTAATCTATGCTCCATTCCTGCTAGGTATCCAGACTGAAGTGCTCATTTGCAGCATTAACTTTGGAGGGCTGGAGTACACAGCTCTGCAGTGGAAAGTGAAGCTCTGTGACGGTCGCTCTCACTCAGAGCTCCACCACTTTCCACCTCTGCGTTCAACAAGGCTTAAAAGCCCCCCTCAGAACAAGCCTCTCAATGGAGCTAATGGACCATGAGAGTGGGAGCCAGTCTCACAGAAACACCAATAATGACACAAGGAGGGAGAGACAGAGGTGACCCAGAGGACCAGTGTGTCTTCTCTGAGCTCTGTTTGTTTTCTTTCCAGCTGTCTGTCTCCTCTGTTTGGCTTTATACCTCGTGTTTTTTCTCACATATGTTATTTCCCAGGAGGATCTTGTCTGTATTGTCAGCTCAGTTACCTATCCCTCCCTCCCTGTCTGAACACTGGCAGCTGATAAACTTATATGTTTTGAAGTCATGATGTTTCGTCTTCGATCTATATTTATATTTACATCTATATTTATACCTGTAATGTTGAGGCTGTCCCTGCTATAGCAGCACCCTATACACATACAGTATACTGACTGTAAACATACATCCAGTATTTCATATGCATAAAATAATGTACAGGGGAATGTCACTGTTGGTTACTTACAAACATGTCAGCAGCTTTTTATGTGATAGTACCCAGAGCATCTTTTAACTGCTGGTCCTACAGAATAAGATATTTGAAGATAGTAAACAGAGCGTCTTTAGTTTTTAACTGCTGGTCCTGCAAAATAAGGTATTTGAAGATATATCCTTCACAAGAAATGAAAAAGCCATACTGTTATGGCATTTTCTCTGGAAAATTTCTCTGGATATCAAAAGTCTAACTAAAGACTATGCAAATGACAAGAGATATAATCTAGTTTTAAAACATTTGATAACAGAAAAGTCAAAACTTACACAGTGTCACACAGTTGAAAAACTGTCTCCTACACCCGGCACAGTCCTCTGTTATCCCCCATACCCAAATAAAAAATACCCCTATGAGAGGCTAACTATCGTTTGTGGTTGTTTACATCTGGGTAGTAGGTCATTTGAGCACTGTAGCACCCACCACTAACAGCCTAGTGGTGGGTGTGATACAATTATTAATAACTTTTTTGCACTGGAAGTAATTTTGGTGCTGAATGGCAGGAGGAACATACTTAAAGTTCCTGTGAGGAACTTTTAGTTTGTATCGATTTTGGCGCCCCCTGTGGACAAAGCAGTGTTTCCTTTTCTTATCTAGCTTAAGTGCTGCCTTTGAAAAATTATTCATCCTTCTGGCTTTTGACAGTTAAATATGTCATTTATATTGAATATTTTATGTGAAAACTGTACAAACAGGACTGTTTCTTCAGCTGCTTGACTGACACGTATCCTCTTGCACGTGTTACAGGCTTAAGAAACTGGGTTTAAAAAATATTGCCGTTGATGGTCTTGTTTGCTTTTTGATGATTAAAAGAAAGGCACAAATATGAATTTTAGTTTATTTCATAATTGCCAATCAATACTTCATAGGAGCTTTAACCCTGTAGTTGACTAAACAGGCACATCTCTTATTTACAGCCTTTAAAAAGCGAAGTGGTTGACTGCTGATGAGTTACATGATTTCATTATAACCAATGCATTCTGCACCTATAGCTCTCTTGAAACCGCTGACACATAGTTGAAAAATTACTCAAACAACAGAAGCTGGGGCACTTTTCCTGCACTAACTTCAGCATTTATATGCAGAGTCTGTGAGATGTCTGCTCAAAGTGAAGCGTGGCATGGATTCCACTCGGAGATTCAGCATGAAACCCTCACATCGTGTAAACACACAGATGTATTACAACGCGCTGCCAAATAAAATGGGCTCAGGAACAATGGTCAGTTTTGGATCAAGCAGCCATCAGAAGCTCACTTACTGAGAGTAGCTCATTAGACAAATTGGAAGAAGTCACGCTGATGCTGCAGAGCACAAGCTTGAGCACAATGTGAAGAAGTCACCCCTGAGGTATTAACTACCAAAGACATCAAAGGAGAAGAGGAGGATGCTTCAGAGTGCTGTGTTGTAATTTTGCTTTCCCATGAATTTTAAAGTAAATGTTTTCTTTCCTAATTACTTGGGGAAAAGTACAGCAACCAAGCCCAAGCTAACAGAGCAGACCAAATAATGAAATCAAAAATAGAAAAAAAAAAAATAGAAATGAGGTCCCTACGCAAATGCAGCTCTTTTGAAAGCGTTCCAGTCTGTATCTTTCCAAATAGGTCACCCTCAGAATGCATATTTGTTCAGCTGACTTTACAAAGCTCACGTCTTGCTTATGCACAGGTATGACTCATATGTTTTGTGAGGGAACAGTCCCATCAAATGCAGAAAAAAAATGGCTGCAGCTGACATAACCGAGTGCGAAGACAGGGCGTAAAAAGGAGCAGTAATTATCTCTGACCCTTACAGACTTCTTATTTAATTGGCGAGCAGACCCCTGAAGAACTCGAGTTACAGAAAATTGAAGATGAAGGGAGAAATGGAAGGCACATAAATTACTTGCCAGGATGTGTTTGTGAAGAGTGAGAAGAAGGTGAAATCAGAGATACAAGGTTGAATCGTGTGAAAGTAGCAGAAAGATATAAAGGTATGAAAGCTTGTGCTCTATGTTTCACACACCCAGTTTAGAAGGAAAAATAACACACACTAACATCTGCCTGATATGGACTTGAGCAGATGCACAGACAGAAATAGCTCAAGTGAGGAAAGTGAAAGAAGTCCAGGGTGGAGCCACTTCACACCCAACTTTGTTTGATTGAAATAACCACAACAGGGGGGCTAATGTGTCTTCAGGATTTTTTTTCTTCAGTTCTTTCACCTGAGCTTCACAGAAATAAAAAATCCTGCTATTTTTGGAGATGTGTGCATGCTTTAGTTGACTGATTCATTCATGAGGTGCTGTGTGCAATGGCAGGAATCTCTTTTATGTTGTTAAGTGCTTATTCCCAACCTTCTGACCTCAGCCAAGAGGGGAGCTGTGAAGCTGCTGCCAGAGTGGCATACAGCACATTACTTAAATTATGTACATGCAGCAAACACAATAGTATGACCTTGATGTTGAGTTATCATGTATGAAAAGGCCCCCTAAGGCATGGGACTGTGATATGCTGTTTTTTTAGTCAGAAACAAGTGATTATTGCTTACAACAGGGGTTCTCATAATCAAGCTCAGGCTGACCCACACTGTTAATGAAATGTTACACATTTTTGCAGCCAGAAAAATAAAAGAAAAAGGAGATTTTTTTAAAACAGTAAGGAAAACAATAATAAGGAAAATGTTTGCTCAGTCTCTCGTACACTAACAAAAACGCCTTAATAGCTGGTGTTTAATTTAATTACATCGATGATTTGTACCTTCCTCTCCAAACATCAGCTGAAAGTGAATGACTCATTACAGATGTCGGCGGGCCACCTGTACACCGCAGGTCTGGTAAGTGAAGGCAGCGTGAGTTTAACCTTCAGCTAAGCGTGATGAAGTCTGACAGTGCTAAGCAGCCGGGCTCGCTCATTAGCCCTCACTGTTCCAGCTCTCTGTGGTCAGGGTCTCTCCTCTTGGCTTTGTCTTTCATCTCTCAGCTACAGAAGCACAAAGCCCCGACGGTCTCCTCATTAGACAGGCCTGTTGCATTAATGCAGCCCAACATAACACACTGAGCTGGAGTTGTTCCTAAATAAAAATCGCCCCCCCACCTCATTTGCCTTGGTTGCAAACATCAAACCGGACGTTATGACCAGCGGTGCGGTGTAGCGGACTGATGTTTGGCAATGCTACGACTCCTTTCAGATGATGGAGTTCTCCATTCACACTGGATGACATTAGCCCACAGTAACAGTGACAAAACACTGCCAGTAGTCAGACCACTGACCTCTAAAACATCGAAACAACTTCAACACTGCACACACTGCTGCACAAACTTATGCACAAATGCATCATACACCTGGCTGCTGAAAAGAATATCATTGCATATAAAGAAGTTTAAACTTTGAGTTGTGATACAAAGAAAAAATCATATTTTTGAAAATCACCAGTTAGGTAATGTCCACATAAAAGTTTACTATTATGTGCTCTTACTTGATGAAATCACAGCGGTACATTATTTTTAGCCTCTATGGAGGTTTAAGCTTCCACTTGTAGTATGCTAATGCGATAACATCAATTGTTATGACACACAGAGAAGCGTAGTGGTAGGTTAGCAGCAGCACAATGACGTCTGTTATGTGTTATGTAAAGCAAACACTGATTCAAATTTGATGTATCATTTGAAGGCACAACATCTCAATCTAATGTTCAGACACAGGATATTAACAAAACATACATCAGTCCAACTTTTTAATGTAGTGTCACCTTCATACAGATCCAATAGCCTTGCCTTTTTGTGACTACACCTGTGGCTCAGAAAGGTTGTGACAGGTAGACTGTTAATTAGGCAGTAATGTCCATCATTTCCTCAACATCACTTCAGCACCACGGACAGCGCTGCCTGTTCAGCAGTGTTGGCTGACAGCTACAGCGCAGACTTTTGCAGCTTATCTGTCCTATAGCTGCTCCCATTGACGACAAAGTTATCTCAATTCGTCAACCAAAGACTAAAAAATATACCTATGCTGATGGATTCAATGTTTTTAAAATACACATCAATAAAGACCCTTAGCAGATAGAATAAAGGCCAAAGACAACTCTGTAGGACCTTCTTGAAATTGGCTTGTTTTCACCATGCAAACCGCTTTAGTGTATGTGAAAAGTAAAGGAAGCTTTCCCTATTATTAAACAGTTATAGTGTGAATAAACTCCTCTCATCTCTTTTCCAGAGTCTCTGCCCCCCCCTGTCTTACCTGATGCTGCTTGCATCCAGCCACAAATCTTGTATACAGTGGAGGTGCTGAGCATGAAGAAGAGACTGAAGCAGCCGATGCAGGTGACAACCAGCATCATGGACATTCCAATGAAGAAGGAGGCGGCCTTGAACGCACTGGAGGGGATAGCGGAGAACTCAGTGAAGCTGCCCTGGCAGGCCAGCTCTCTGGAATGTCCGTCTCCGACGCAGTAGTGGAAGAGGCCGAAGTAGCCGGCCTGCGGCGTATCAATGCCATCGCCGATCCAATAGGGCTGTGAGAAGATGGTCACGTTCACCATACCGAACAGGATAGTGAAGATGGCCCACAAAAGTCCGATGACACGGGAGTTGCGGACGTAATTGGTCTGGTACAATTTCGCAGCTTCTGCAGAGGGTAGCATTGATGCGGCAGATCCAGGTATCATTTTATGCAATCCCGAAATCTAGAAGAAGGTTGCGATCAGCACGAGCACAAAGCGAGGACTGAACATTGAAGACATAAAGCGGGTTCTTTTTTCCCCCCTACAGAATCATCCTCAAAACAGCAAAGAGACCAAGAGGAGAGTGTGTACGCCTGTGCAACTGCAACATCTGTCAGGCGCGATCAACTCATGACGTTGCAGCCCTCGAGCCGGAGGAGCTGAAGCAGAGAGCTTGAACCCGGGGTACGTCTGAGAGAAGTCTGTGAAACTCAATGATGATTACAGCAGCTAAAACAGGTTACCTCCCACTTGCTCAGTGTCGCCGTAAGACGTGCTCATCGCTGCCGCACCGTGTCGCTTGCTGATGTCCTTGGAAAACCTCGATCAACCTCCGAGTGAAACAGAGATGTATTATTCACACTATATATGACGTGAACCCATCAGCCAATGACGATAACAACAGACTCTAGCATGCGAGATTCACCACTGCACGATCACAATCGGCACGTACTTACAAATACACACAGCCCACTCTTATAAGCGGTCTGAAACGCTCCGCTCGGCGTCAGGATCGTTTACGGTGGAATTATTCTCTCCGGTTTGTGACAGCAGCTGCCGGTGATGCTGCTGGGAGTCAGAGAGGGAGGGCGGGGCACAGACGGCAGACGCAGTGAGCAGGGGGTGTCTGCAGAGCCGGAGAGCCAAGCAGATCCACAACCCTCTTTGCGCCCCTGCTGGACAGAGTAGGAAATTGCATGACAGATCCACAACCCTGTATGGAAGTAAATCTGTGCCATCTGATTTTGAATTTAAATTTCTAAAGCTGAAATTTTTTTTGCATCAAAATCAGACTTTGAATTTTAAAACCATCAAATTTCAAGCATGCCTTTTCATTTCTGACAGTAATTTTTTTCCCATAATGATGAAATAAATTCAGTGCAAAAAAAAAAATGTCTCAAAAATATTTGTTTAGGAAAAATTCAACTTAAAGAAACTGTGTATAAAAAATTTGATGTAAAAAAAAAAATCTTTTATGTTGAATTTTTTTACACTGTTTTTTTAAAGTCGAATTTTCACTAAATGAATATTTTGGAAGACCTTTTTTTTTTTACACCGATTCAATTCAATCATTGTGAAAAAAATTGGTGTCAGAAATAAAAATGTGTGCTTGAAATTCAATGGTTTTGAAATTCAAAGTCTGATTTTGATGCAAAAAAATTTCAGCTTTAGGAATTCAAATTCAAAATCAGATGGCACAGATTTACTCCCATAACCCTGTTTAGAACCGCTGCTCCTTTCCCTACCCCTAACCCTAGCCCCAACCCTAGACTCAACCCTAACCCTAGACTCAACCCTAACCCTAACACTAACCCTAACCCTAACCCTAGTCCTAATTCTAACCCTAACCCTTACCCTAACCCTAACAGACGACGATGTTTCACAGCCATAAGGAATAACCAATCGGAGCCCAGCACTTCTAGCGAATCAGAGGTGGACCTTCTCCTACCATCCTTACAAAAAAAAAATCGCGACCAGTAGGCTACTAGCGTTGTAGTAAATGAAACAGAAGTGCGATGACAAATAATGTGCATGAGATTGCACATGAAAATATACGAGAAACACAAACAAAATATCACATTTATCCGGCTCTGTAGACACATATTATTGCATTCAGGGGGTCAAAATCATTGCCAAGGAATGAATAGTATAAAACGGACCAATCCCTTTGATATTGTGATAATATAAATTGATATTTTTGTTGAATAAACCTGAAATATTATAGGTAGACATACAATACATAAAAAGACGATCAGTAAAAAAAATGTAAAATTAATTAAATCTAGATTAATTTCTAAATATGTGACTGTGGGCACTTACTTTATTTTTGAAATGAATTCCAAATCCTTAAAAGAAAGTGGGCAGAGTCCCAAGAACTGAACTTTTTCTTTACAAATTTCAGAGATTTACTTTGATTATATAATAATAATAAAGGTTGTGGATCTGCTTGGCTCTCCGGCTCTGCAGACACGTTCTATTGGACGCAGTAGCAGCCCATCGCGATGTCTATCTATGCAAAAAAAAACTCCCCTTCCGGATAACGCTGCGTCAACATCCACTGAACTGACACTGGAGTATACCAGGGCGATAGCAAATATGTCCTAAACGGCTCAAATCATACGGAATTAAAGCAGGTTTTATTATTTTATGGCGGGATAATTATCTCTGCATAACTAACCGAGGAGTCGTTTTTACAGGCAGCCTGCTGTGTGAGGGATGCAGCCAACATTACTCGCTGGCACGAGGTTATGCAACACTCCACGAGACCGCACGCGACACAAATACATCACGTAGTATAAGAAGCAGTGAATGGCCGGAGATAGCAGGAGTGACAACAATGAACACCAAGCCAGGACTTCAGAAAGCCTCAATGCTCCTCGTTCTCCAAGGGAAAGAAAGGACACACGCAGCCATTAGCCCACTCTGCTACGAGCACTGCCAGTGATGTTTGTTGTTGCTCGTGTTGTGCATATGAAAGTCGTTGCGTTGGTGTAACATTTGTCCTTAGATAACTTCTGCCACAAGACAATTATGATCAAAATCTTATTTTTTTATGCAAAAAGATAAAGTCAGTGATTTAGTAGGTGAATTTAAAACAAATAAATAGAAGCTTGTTCTATAATGATTTTAGGTTTGTGCTCTTACAGCTATTTTTTTACAAAATAAATAAAAAATAAATAAATAAAACATCAATCTATGCTCTGTAACTCATTTCCTGACTTTGGTTGAGTTTCATTTCTTAAGAAAAACAAAGTACTGTAAACTTTCCACCTTTTAAAAGCTGTGTTATTTTAAATGAGCTTTAACCTTCTTCTCTTGGATTTGGGAGTTTTGGAATATTAGAGAGTTTCAGGACAAGGGATGAGTATAAAATAAAGTTTTTATTTATCATGTAAGTCATGAATAAAAAGAAAATGCCAGGATAGGATTCTAACTTGGTACCTGCAACAAGAAACTCAGCTTTGAAAAACACTGAGATCTCTGACTTTGACGAATGAGCTGCATGGAGCCATAACATATTTTCCATCTTTTTATTATAGGGGAGAGTGGGGTAAGTTGAGCCAAAGGGTAGGTTGAGTCACCCCCTGTTGCTTGGAAATGGTAAGAGAAATTGATCATGTGCGCAAATATTTAGGAGATGGGCATCAATTCATGGAGTCTGTGAAGGTTGGAAGCACATGGGTGAAGGGGCTAGACATTTATTTCCAAAAATCTCATTTGTCACTCTTGAAAGTAAATTGTGTTCAGACCAAAAAAGATAATTTTGAATTTGTTTTATACATCAATTGTGGTATCTATGAGCTACAACATGAGGTTAACAGCTCAACTTACCCCGCTCCTATGGTCAACTTACCCCATACACGGGGTAAGTTGACCATAGGAGACCACTTTTTTGCATGCTTTATTATCAAGACAGTTATGTTTACACCCTGTTGGTTTTCAGGGATGCACAACATCTTGAAATATATGCAGATACACTAGTTAGAGACAAAACTATGATTTTGCCTTAATTTAGCGATCAAAAATATGAAAAAAGGCTCATCTTACCCCACTCTCCCCTATTATAAAAATTATCCCCATCTGCTGTTCTGGAAGAATGCTGAGATTCTGTTGTGCTGTGAAGCTTAAAAAATGATTTGTAAGGAAACTTCATCTCACTTTCAACCCTCACGAAGATAAACTCATATCAGGGTTAAATGTTTCTGTCAGATCTAAATTTCCTTCATAAAACTCAGCTTTGTATCCTAAATAACAAAAACACATGTTACAAAATCCTGTAGAAAATGTACTTTGCTGTAAGGCACTGAAAAATCCATGTGGTTTACATCCAGATGATACAAACAGCTTCACAGAGACACCAAAAGTTTGCGGGTTGGCGAATGATTCGAAATACGAGGGGCAGTGTAACGCAATGGAGTCCCCCTCACAGTCTTGTTGAAAATTTGTTTTTAAATAAAAGTAAATGAAATGTTTATGTCCTCCATGATGTCCCCATCACAAAAGCACAGGCACAAACTAAGTCACACAAGCACATTTACATCATAACCTTCTCTATAATTGATGTCCTCTTCCCCTTTTTTACCCTGCAACTGTGTCATAAAGACAGACACCATGTTAATAACGTAATAATTTCTGTATTGTATTACAAACACATAGCATCGCATCACATTTATTTATTCAATTCAAAGCTTTGTGCACCAAAGCCTCCTGGTGTCTTTGATAATCACTCTGCCTGTTTTACATTTACTGTCCTCTTGATGGCACAGTAGAGCAAATGAAGCACAATAAAGCTTTGGCACATAAATCGAACAATTGGAAAGCTTCTATGCTTCAAGAGGCTTCATCTCACCATCACTACTATTTACACAAAAATGTACAAGGCAAAAATCAATGTCAATAAGGCAAGAGTTCCTCAATAACTCACGATTCAGCAACACAGCAGTCATACAACAGAGGGCAGTTCAATAGTTACCTTTAGTGCCACCAACTCCACATTCAATGACAGGCCCAGGCAGCCTTCTTTTAAACTCCCCTAGCCCCTCCCCTGGGCACATCCATACACAAATTATAGGGGTTTAAGTTACCGTATGTAAAGTGCAACACAAACTCCTCAATAAATTAGACATTTCACCACAGACAAAGAGGCACTAATCGCCCCCCATACAGCTATGACCATACCCCTTGAAAACACAATAAACAGACAAAGTATCACAATTTAACCATACTGGTATGGTCCGGCGGTCACATGACACCCCCAAAAGCGCGCCACCTTGCGCTATTTACCGACAGATCAGGAAGCGCCCAGGTTTGGCTTGTGAAATGGCAGCAGGTAAGTACGTTATGTGTGTTGCGTGTAGTTGTCGAGTGTGTGCCCTCAAACGCCTACAGCGGGGACAAAAGAGTCCAGATTAACAGGGAAACAGTTGGTTGGAGTGTAGGGGTGTGGGGAAACAGTTAAACAGTTTGACCGAGCTTGGCTTCGCGGGGAACGAGTGCGCTCCCGGCACTTCAGGCGCCGAGAGAGAGAGAGAGACCCGCGCCAATCGCGGAATGACGGCGCTCAAAGGGAAATTCCGACGTAAAGTTAAGCTAGGGTCAAACACACCGCAACACCGAGTTAGGAACCCCCTCGAGAGATGAATGTTGCAGACCGCTTGCTTCTCTAGTTTTACCAATTTTAGTAACGACCGCAGATAGCGATACACAGAGCCACGCGCTCATCCAAAAAGCCACTCTATAGCCACAACTAATGCTCCGAACGGCACCTAACTTCATCAACAGTACATATAGGGTCCCAGCCATAGTACCAGCCACCAAACAAATTTTTAGCATTGTCTGATTTCTTTAGCAAACACTACTCACCCTCTCATCCAGCAGCCGCGTGTTTGTACTGAGACCTCCGGGCGAGTCCATGGACTGCTGCGGGGGTGCGCAGCTCAAGGAAGAACATTTATGATCATTTCCTCATGGAAATGCAATCAGACCGAGACACTATGGCAGAAGAACTACTGCGTCTGCAGTGCAAAATGACTAATATGATGATTACTACTTCAAGGAAATGAAAAAGTAATAACTGTAAATGTTCTTCCTTGAGCTGCACCCCCCCCCCCCACTGTAGACTATGGACTTACCCGGAGGTCTCAGCACAAACAAGCGGCTGCAGGAAGGGAGTAGGTGAGTTGTGTTCAGTCTCTTTGCAAAAGAAATCAGGCAAAGTTAAAAAGATGTTTGGTGGCTAATACTCTGGCTGGGACCCTATATGTACTGTTGATGAAGTTAGGTGCTGTTCTGAGCATTATTTGTGGCTATAGAGTGAATTTTTGGTTGAGTGCGTGGCTCTCTGTATTGAAACCATTTTACTCTCCTGCTGCGGAGCTATTATCACACCACAAGCCTACCTGGCATGGCTTGCATTTTAAGGTCTTAAATTCAACATTTGAATAAGGTTTTAAAGTGGCTAAGGTTACACTGCAGGGAAACATTTCTTCTCTGCATCACACAGAGAGCCTTGTCCTAAGCAAGGATAGTATTTCTTTTCTGCATCGTTTGGAACGCTCCTTTTTGAAGTCTTGTTTTGAACCCAGGACCATTTACTCAAAGGCGACTAGACTGACTATTACACCTGCTCGGTAGACTTCGGCCAATTTGGTGCCCGAGGCTAGATTGATATGATTGGCCCATTTTACTTCATAGTAATCACTGAAATTTTAAAAGGTTTGCCTCGAATTTTAAAACTGTTTCCAAATTCATACACTTTGTTTGCTTTTTTATATCATTAGAAGGCATCATAGTGAATTTTAGTCAATTTTATTAATGTAAAACAAACTACTTATGGGAGCTTTAGGTGCTAAGGTATTCTCTTGGTCTTACTTGTTTTTCTTTTCAGTTAGAGAGGGGGTTTGCATTTCTAACACCATTTCTATGTAGGATCAAGTGCATATATTTAATTAAGCCCATTTAAAAACACATGCCTCAATGCTCATAATCCATATCTGTCATATAAAGATACTTTTTTTTCCAAAAAGATTTACAATTTGAGTGCACTTCGGAATGTAGATATAAGGCATACTTTTTAAGTAGATTGTATACATTTTACATCTTAACAGTCTTGAATTTTCAGTCATGCTTTTCTTCTCCCTATACTTCTACTTCTGCCTCTTCTATTGAAGATATTGTAGGTCTCACACACAAAACCTCGGTTTGACTTTTAAGCCATTGCAGTACCTCATATGACCACCAAGGACCAGTACAGCCTTACATTAGACTTGAGTACAGCCAGGCCAGATGACAGGAGGTCGTAATGACTCATTCTCTTTAATGAATGGTATAACGCTAAAACTGAAGAGTTACGTTTTCTTTAACTAATGTATTACAATAAAAAGAGTAAATCTGAGGTATTTTTGTAGTTGTAATCCTAAATGGATTTAAAATCCACCTTTCTCTCATTTAATGTAGTGCCAAAATGTTCTGAAGGATGAATTATAATGTCACTAATCTCTTGTAATTTGGCATTTAATTCATGTGAGTCAAGGCCCAGATTTTGAAATCTTAGGGTCCATGGACCATAACCCTCATTCAGCCTGCGGTGCAGAGTAATACAAGAGCCGTACTGAGAAATTAATTGGACACCAGCCATGCTGTATTGCACAATGTTTACCATTGACACAGTACAGTTAATGTCAATTACTTGAAGATGTTCAAACGCACCTTTTCTGTCCTGTTACCCTGCAAACTTGAATTGCGTATGCCTGTATTTGGAAACATATAGCCACACTTGCTCGGGGCTTTCTCAAGTGAATTAGAATATTTTTGAAAACAGCCTTTGGACCGTTACAAGGCCAGAAAAAAAGAAAGGATGCAGACAGTGAATCGGCCAGTGTTTGCCAGGAAAAACAGGGAGATTTCAGAGGCAATGCTGGGGCAGAGGAGGGAACAGTGCCTGTGAGAGTTGAAGGGAAAGAATGGTTGGTAGAGGATGAGAGAGATTTTCCTCCATGAATTTTAGGATGAAAGATTGGCTTGTGTGTGAGAAGTGTGTGTGTGTGTGTGTGTGTGTCTGTATGTTTAAGTGAGAAAGAGTGAGTGAATGCCAAAGAGAGAAAGCCTGGGTGTGTTGAGATAAGCTTGGGTTGTTGTGAGGTTGTTGTTTTCTGGGCACACACCATTTGTGCATGCGCTTGTGTTAATGTCCTTCTGTGTGTACATAGAGATTGTGAGTAGTTGTTGAGTTGTGCATTGAGACTGCACACATTACTTTTTGATATTTCAACCCTAAATGGTGCCACTCTCGATAAGGGTCTCCTGTCTCCTCTCTCCTCCAGTTTGCTGCTCTTTCTCTCTGCCCTTCACAACATTTCTTTTCTCTGAAACTTATGGACTTCAAGTTTTCTCCTCTGTTGACAACTTATTTATTCTTAGTCTGGTCAAAAATAGAGTTGGAATAACTAATCAGTTAGCTGCTTAATGGCATTATGAAGAAACCGATACTATTTTTGCTTTGGCCCTCACAAGGCCGGTATCACCATCATCTTTTCGAAATGACGTTTTTTGTTCCCATCATTATTATCTCATTATTTTGTTATCAATAAGTTGTTGTTTTTGTCAAAAACGCAAACATCAAAAACATTGTCATATTGGTATTTTATATCAGCCATTGGCCAACCTGCTCTCTCATTATTGGTGAGGTGATTGGTTGCTGAAAAACATATTGGTAGACCACAAGTCTAAAGTCCTCTTATCCTCATTATACTGTGAATTGTAACATTTTATGATCCTTTTTTTGACCATGTAACCACAACTTAGAGACACGTTTTACCACATAAACCTTTAAGATAGTCCTACTTTATGTATTACAATAAAGCTGGTAGATCTGTGTTTAACCATCTGAGCCACATCATGAGTGCCAGATCTGTGAGATTTTTACATTTTGTGTGCAATCCTTGAGTTAAATTAAATCAACTTTTTATGGCTGTGATGGAGGGCAGAGCAGAGAGACACTGCATGTAAGAGGCATCACTTAAACTGCAAGCCAGATTTGTGGACATGTAGAAGTTTCAGAGTTCGACTGCTGTGAGTAGGGTGACCATACGTCCTCTTTTACCCAGACATGTCTTCATTTTTGGGGGCTGTCCAGGCTTTGTCTGGGGTTTATAAAATCCTTCAAATGTCTGCGGTTTTGTACAGAAGTTTTGAGTTTGTGTCACATGTACCTTCTGAGTTAGAAACGCATAAAAGACAGTCGATCCGACCCAAAAAACTCTCAAAATGAACTTCATGCGACTCCGTGACTCCGCCCCCGCATGGTTGGGTCCTCTTTTTAGGGATTCAGAATATGCTCCCCCTAGCTGTGAGGATTTTGAAAATTAACTTCTAATTTTTCAGTTTGTCCGGTTTGTGTACTTCAGTAGTGCTCTCTTATTATCTTAATGTTGACTAGACCTCCCAGTTAACTTGCTCTTTCTTTCCCTTTCTTTCACTCAGGCAGCTTTTTTTGGTAAATATGATTATTTCTCACAGGTGTTAGTGTTTTGGTTACTATGAAAGTAATTGGATCATTTTGAAGTATGTGGTAGAGGTAATGACAAGATCTCATGCCACCAAATCTCACAATGCTAAAGCGTAATGACATTTCTCATTGAGGTGATAAACTGTCTCATGAAATCACACAATAATAAGTTTCCATCTGCAGTGCACAGTGATCGGTCCTATTATTGCTAAGTCTGTGACTCAGATGAACAAATAAACTTCTTTGTCTATTGAAATCGTTGTCTACTCATAGCTTTAATGTTGGATCATGGGGGAAGTTCTGGACTTTTTTTCCCCTTGTAAAAACTCACTCTCATCTATTGCAGAGGTGACCCCCGCTGAGCCACACAAATACCCCCTTGTCGACTGTTTACCATCACAATGCAGACACTGTCTCTTTCCCTCGCTGTCAGGAGGACCCATATTTATGTATTTTCATTGTAATTACATGGCAGTGTTTTTAGATTTCCAAAATGCCTCTGTTTCCCCCACTGGTGCTTTTATCCACGGCTGCAGATCAAACAGAGCTATTGCCAACACTTTGCTTCCCCGAGCCACTGAGAAAAAAAAACCCAACCAGTAAACAAAAGATAAAATACCCTAATGAAAGCTGGAGAGAGAGCAAAATCAACACAATAAAAGGGTTTGTTGAATAGTGGCTGGGGATTGTGTGTTTTCTGATGCTGTGGTAGTTGTTGGAATTTTTTATGTGTGTGAGTATATGGGGGGTGTATTCTCATCTCTCAATGTAAATGACACTTTTTCACATTAAAAAAGCAGCTGTGTGGAAATTTTCATGTTAGAAAGCATGGTTTACAGCTGTTCAGGAGGGATCACAAAAATCAACACAAACTGAAAGTTACTCACAGGAGCTTTAAAACCAAATGATGACGGTTTGATCCCAACTCATAGAAAGATTGATTGTTGTCATGTAAGCTCTGGTGAAATTGAATATAGGGCCGTTTATTCTTTAAGGGCCACATGAACCCTCTTACTGCTGTAAATACTCATTTGTACCCCTCTGTATTCTGATGAAAATATTCCCTGACATACAGTTTACATGATTACCTTCTGGTCTTCTAAATTATATACAAAGTTATAAAAGAAAATAATCTGCACTTTTCTAAAATTGCTAAAAAGGAAAACTTTCTTTCTACATTTTGATCAAATGAGTTAAAAGTCTGCTCTGTCTCTTTTTTTCTTAGATTTGAAACCCTGCTGTCCTTTCCTGATCAACATGTTTGGACTTCTTCAATAGGACTGATATCACCCTGCCTTGGAATGAGCAGGAACTATGTGTGTGTGCTTGTAAGTGCAATTTTGTTTGTATATGTAATGATTTTATTTGGGTCAATATAATCATGCTTTAAAGCTTTCAAGTTGCACAGAAAACTACTCACTGAGCATTTTATTGGTCTAGAAGAGCTCTAATAGGCGTCTAAATGTAGCCTAGATGACTGGTCTAAAATCAGACTACCACAGGTCTAAAAATGAAAGTTTTTTAGACATCTAAATTTAGACCAAGTTTAGACCAAGTCTTAATCTGGGCTATATCCATACTACACTGTATTTTGCTCAACAGCTATCATGATAATTTTGGTTGAGTACTTGGGGATCAGTTATGCAACTCACAGTTGCTTTTTGAGATAAAAAGTTATCGAGTAATGGGTTAAAGTGCAACATCGAAATTCTGTCAAGTAATACAAAGAACCTTGATGGTTGAAATTTGGTCCAAAAAAAACCAACTAGATGTCGAATAGCTGTCTATTGCTCAGTGGGTAGACACTTTGTACAGATTTTGGTGTTCACTGCTGACAATGATTTTTTTCTCTTATGTTGAATCTTGTTGAGTTAATTTCAAGAAACCACTCTAAAACCCATTTTAAACTGCGTATGTGAGGTGTGTGTGTTGAATTGCACCACTAGATGGCATCCTGAGAGAGGCCTTATCATCCCAGCAGCACTGTTCAGTTGGCAGAGGAGGACAAAATAAAACAATGCTTATCTCTGCACACATGCATTTAATACTTGACTTTAACTGAGCTGATATATTTGATGTACTTGAGGCCTTTTTTGTGGCTCTTTAATGAATGGGTCTTATAGTGTTTATCTGTTCCTTTGCCATCATTTTCTCCACTAAAGTCTTGGGAGCCCTTCTTTTGCTGGTGATATAATTATAATATGTCAAGCCAAGTTTTTTGCCCGGACTTAAGCTTTTAAAATGCCTGACCTCAAAGCATAAACCTGCATTTCCATTTTGAGACTAAGTTAGCATTAAAAACCTTCACATTAGATATATTTTTGTTGGTGCTTTGGGCCTTAAGACATTTTATTTAATGTGAAATGTTATAGCCTGTGATCATTTGTGCTTTTGCATTTATTAGATTCCTGTAAAACAACTTCTACAGTTGGTTGGTCAGTCCACTACATGTGTGCAAAAGTTAGATGTCTCCATCCTTGACTTGTTACTGCTGTCCAAAAAGGCTTTGACAAAATCTGCGTTGAGCCTTGAGGAATTTAAAAAATGGGGAACTAATTTAACATGTTTTTGTGACAAACAGGCTCTAAAGCAGCGAATAGTCTATCCCAGAGACAAGTATATGCAGTGCAGCAGTGAGGCGTTGGCAGCTCTGTGTGTTTTTGTGTGCATGTTTGTACATATATGTGTGTGTTGAATGTTTGTCTTTGTGAGACAGGGCTGGCTGCGTTTGCTGTGCGTGACTGACTAAGAGCAGAGCACCAGGAGCAGACATCTGTGTATACTCATGGACAAAGGCTGCACTGGAAGAGAAATGCTTCACCACAACAGGTCAGATCACCTAAAACAAACTTAAACACTCCTCCTCCTCTTCTTGTGTATCAAAAACCACCAGTCAGCAGCTCCTTTATTTCCCTCAATCCATCTCCGTGTTTCTTGTTATGTCCATCCATACATCATTCGCCTCTCACTCCCTCTCTCGCTCCTCTCAGCTCAATCACACCACACCGGCTCTCTTTTCTTAGCAAACCTTTCTCTCATCCATTATTGAGACTTGTTTTTTTTCCTTGAGTCTCAGAATGAAGAAAGGGAACGGATCTTTTGAATTTTTAATGCGCCGCATGAAAAATGTAGCATCAGTCATTTCTCAGCAATACGAACTGGTAAACTTTTAGCAGGACACAACACACCGAGTCACGAGATGATGCCGTACATGGAGGGGAAAGGGGTGGAAAGCCCTGTGGCGTCTGTTTAGGAAAGGTGCCGAAGGTCAGAAGGACAAAAGGGAAACGAGAAATGTGATTGTGGGTGAAATGCTGCGTGACCATATCATCAACCACAAATGTCTTAAAGATACCGCATTAAATACTTTGGATGAAACCAAAGAGCAAAGTACAAAAGATGTGTTCGTGGAAGTGGGGCAAACACAGGTGTTTACTGTGGATGATGCGGTTTCATCACCTGGAGAAAATCTGATACAGTGAAAACCTGAAGTTATATGAATCCCAAAGCTTGTTTCTTCGAGGTCTTGAGTCTTGTGGGAGTTAATTATGCATTAAGAAAACCTGTTCAAACTCCCTCCAGTCATTTCACCCACCACCCAATCACTTCCCCCCTCACCTGAGCCACCGAGCGTTGTTTTCAGACAGAAGCCGGGTCAAGGTCAGGGTTGTGAAATAGTACAGACCTTTGTTAAGTGAGCTCTCCTACATCATGGACTCCGTATCGATGCATATGACAGGAAAGGTCCCAGCAGCTTAAACATGTACTTCGACAAAAGAAGGTGGAAAAATGAAATGTGTGTATCATGAGTAGAGAAATAGGGTAAATAAAGGCTTTATTTTTGTGTGTTTTCAGCCTGTTTATTTCTTTTTTACACTTTTTCTTGAATGTTTTTCACCTACATCTTTAGAAAGTGATGGTTGATGCTGCATTTCATTCTGTACATCTGCTGTAATTTATAGTGAAAAGTAGAATACAGGTTGAGTACTCATCGCTATATTGCTGTGTGCTTTCTGACAAATGTACCCCCTCGCTGTGAATGCGACAGGCTGAACTGTCCTCATCTAGTTATCCCGATCATAAATCTGACTTCCTGGGAAAAAAAAAAAAAGCTTTGCCGCCATCCCCCCCCTCCATCTTTGTTCCATACGTACAGCATCTCAGGTCTCAAGGTAGGGTGGGGGGAGCAGAAGCGGACCAATAGCCTAAGGGGGGTCGTATATTCTCGCCATAGGCCCTCCAGCATGTCATCTATATTTATGTGCTCATTCTTATAGCTGTTTGTGTCTGCGGATTGGCCAATTTGTTAGTAGCTCATAAATACTCCTCGGGCAAATTGGTGTAACGTATAGCACCTTGATGCCCCTCCTTACCATCTTGCATAATCTGAAATGGGAGCTTAATTCTTGACATTCACATAAATAAATAAAATGATTTATTAATGAGGGAATCAGTTAATTTATGATTAATTAATATTTCTACAGTGATATTTCAAATATTAATGAGAAAGTGGTTGCGTTTTGTGCAACATTCAGTAATTCAACCATGTTTATGGAAAATTAAGCCACGTTTTGGTTGCTGTTATGATTTGGTTATTTGGCTGCTTTTGTTGCTTGTTTTGAGTCACCGGTAGCCTTGGCCGTCTTGTCACAACTGCCAGCCATCAGTCAGGCAGAGCGAGGTAGTCTAGAGGACAGGGACAGGGAGGGGCCCGCTGCTCTAGTTTCCAGAGTCAAATTGACAGCAGGAGGATGTTTCCGCCACAGGCCTTGGCTGGTTATGACAGTTAGGAGGATCCATTAGGGGACCAGTTCTCATCTATAACACCTTTTCCCTGTGAACCCCATTTAGCCAGAGGTACTGTTCCCACAGAATCATCTTTGAAGGACATGAGTAGTTTGGTTTTATACTCTCCGTTACACTGCGTCTAGGTGAATGATCACGTAGAAGGAATCAGTAGTGTGCCCCGGCTCCTGAGGCAGGTTATGTGTTTCCTGGTTTTGCTCACAATTAGTACTACAAATTAAATAAGTGTTGAAAAAAAACCATAACACTGAATGCTGTTTTCTTCACAGTGTGTGCTAAAAGCAGGTGTTTCATATGTGGGTTTCATCCGCACATGCACAATATGCAGAATGTATAGCCTGCGGCAATGGATGGAAATAGAACCAACAGCCTGGCAATGAAGTGTCAAGAGACCAGGAGCAAGAGGTTCAAATGAGGAGGAGGAACATTACAGGCCCAGCTAATGAAAGAGGGACTGAACCGCAGAATTCCTTTATAACAACAGGAGGGAAACCAGAGAGCATCTATAATCATATCTGATGAAGGTGAATGTCCTCTGTCTTCATTTTGAGGCTGCTCCAGTCCCTCTCTGATGGGAATGAAGTTCTAATAAGGAATTGATTTTTTTAGGGAGAAGAAACGCCGTAAAGAGGATGACCTTCTGACCCCATTGCTCATAGAAGGTGTGGCAGCTGATAGTCCTCATCCTCGAGAATCGATGTGGCCGGCCTCATAACCACCCTTGGCCGATTTCAGGGGCCCTTAATGTGTCATCAATGTGTCATCGAGCATACGTCTTAGCCAGAGGCGACAGGACCTCCCCCCCCCCGTCGGATGAGAGGGCGGAGAGTGGCATTTCCCCCAATTCTGTGAAATGGTGCAGAAAACAGGAGAAAGAGGGACACGCCCCACAGTGTCTATCAATCCTAAGTCTGCAGGGCTGACCTCCTGTGAAACTTCATCTAGAAACCTTCATCTATCTGTCAGTGAATGGGAAAGGAGGTAAAAGAGGAGGGGGGGGGTGCTATTGGAGCCAGCAGCCAATCTCCCCTCCCTTCTCAGATGCATAATTCAGTGTTTCTCTCACAACAGCCTGCGCTTCGAAGGGCTCAGCTTCCCCCAGCCATGCGGCCAGCAGTCTGCTAATATGAAAGAGGCTCAGAATCCACTCTGTTGTTCCTTGAGGCTTTCTGGCTCTACACTCTCAGTCATACTTGTATGATTTATTCAGCTTGTTCATCCGTGGCGTGAGACCCGGACCCCAATGGTCGAGTTGGGAAACATTTTTGTCCTTGTCAGGATTCAGCCGCAGAACTTGGCACAGGAAGTGTGTCGGCATCACTGTGGGTTGTCAGAGTGACACTGGAGTAGCTTAACCTCCCACTGGTGGTTAGTTTTACTGTTCCTTCTGAGAGGCTCGCCGCTGAGCCTGTGCACAGCAACCCTGCCTTGGCCTCAATAAGTAACCAAGGAAGGAAGCATAGAGGACAAGAGCACAGGGTGACTCTTCCTGTTCCTCCAAATACTCTCGGCTTCAGTCATTGAAAGTTGACTGAAAAAATGTACCTATACAGTTCAGGCTGTATTTGTATATCTTGTACAGACACAAAAAGTTAAAATTTTGAACTTTATTCATATTCCTGGGACTTAAAGACCAAGGTGGGTTGTTAGTTGAGGAAAAGAGTCTGTATCTGTTTTTTATTTTTTTGTTTAAGCTGTATTTTAAATGTAGACAAGTGGGTCTACATGGCACTTTTTGGAAAGAATACAAAAGTTCAAAAAGGAAATTCAGTCTTTGTACTTTATATTATGGGGTTGAAACTGTCTTGAAATGCAAAATAACAGAGTTTTAAACATGCAGTTCAAACCGCGATTAATTGCAGTTAACTATGAAGATTCCGCGATTAATCGTTACACAGCCCTAAATATTATATTTCCTGTAGGGTTTAGAGCTGGCTGACAAAAGTCTCCTCACTAAGCCACTGGACCTCTTTTTTAAATTCATATACAGTTATTTGTTTATGATAAACAGCTGATGTGTTTGGGAATTTCATCTTTTCCTTCTCTTGTTCTCCATACAAGCCGTTTTCCTCTATGCAGCTGAGATGGTCAAATGTGATTGGAAGTCGTTGGACAATATATCTAAACTGGAACACATTGGAAGACCAGAAGCTGCAATTTGTCCTCCTCTGTTTTTTGGTCTGATCTTTAGCTCCTCATTATACAATCATATCCCTTGTGTATATAAAGTTTTGTTTAAGTTTTGCAGGGCCATGCTGGTTGAATTCTGAACATTATATTTTACTTTCTTATCTCTCCTAAAACAAAATACTCTCCACTCGAGCGCTTCTATAATCTGTTTATGTTTTGCTTCAGAGGCGGAGGATGATGGTGATTCTTTAATAGCTGCTGGGCTCTCCCTGACCTCACTGCCCGTGCGCTGCTCCGGGTCAAACATCCTACTGTGACGTCAAATGTAATGAGATGGCATAATGGCTTGTTAAATAGCTTATGGTAAAAGGCGGCGTGCGGAGGGTTGGTGTGGGTGAATGAGCCTCGCCTGGCCCTGTGACAGCGCTGCTCAGGCTCATGACCATAATCCATCAGTTTCTGCTGATGATGAGATCCCCTCTCCCAATTCATGAGTGGAATTGCCATTTAATTGCATGGAAAGTTTCCACCCCGGTCCCCGGCAAATGGGTTTGATCTCGCTTGCTGTTGTGTGTGAACATTTTAAATCCTGTCTTTATCTCTCTGTCTCTGGTGTTTTCTTGATCTTTCCCTCTAATAGAGAAGAGCATAGCTTGGGGAGCAGGTTAATTATGAAGGAGCTCATTACTCATGTTTAATTATTGCAACTAGATTTTTGGCTGATCATAATGCGTCCTCTTCTTTTCAGTGTGCATGTTGGAATTACTCCGGTTTTTACTCCTTCAATTATTGATTTTCATATTTTTTCACAAAATTCATTCTCCTGAAAACCCCAACCTGTTTGGGAATATTACGGTAAAACTCTCCTATCGGATTGACATGTCTGATTTTTTTCGAGTGTGAACCCGTAGGTGGATATATTGTCACACAGTGTAGGTTATACAAAGGTTTTCCTGTGTAAAAGCTGTCACCAAGCTGCCAGTGTGGTACTTGGTCATTAGCCGACAGTCATTAGCAACTTGTTTAATTGAACTCATTTACAGGCTGTGCTAATCTACCGAGGTGACCTTGATTCCACGGCTGCGTAATGTTTATGCAGTGCAGCAGAGTGTGTCTCTCTCTGTACGCCATTATAAGCACAAAATGCAGTTAGGCTCATGTTTGGCCATAAAAGTCTGCACTTCATTAGTCATAATTACCTTTGCTGTTGCCCAGAGAGGTGATGAGTTTCTGCACTCTCAGACTAGATGTCAGACCGATGCCAGCGGAGTACAACTCATCAGCAGAGGTGCTGAGGAGAGTGGAGTGCTAAAATCTCAATTCTCGTCGTCCCCTTCGTTTTTCTTTTCTCTCCTCATCTTTCTCTTTCAGTGCTTCCTGTATATCAACCCCATCTCTGCCTGTGAGCAGAGAGGTAGTAAATCTGGGGCATTCGTGCAGGACGAGGAGTAAATGCATCGCAGAGGATAGAAGTCGGGGTGTGAGGGGGTGCTTGTTGGAGTGATAAATTAATGAGGCATGGCCTTGTCTGTGTGGGGTGTGTAGTTTTTCTGTGTATGGGTATATATATAAACAGATGTCCTTCTCTTGGCTCCATGGCTCCCTACTTCTCTTTTTCTCGTCCTACTACCAGTAATTCATTCTCCCTAGCTTATTGACTGTCTCTCTCATTCTTCAGAAAAGTGTTGTTTACACAGAGCTTTATTTTCACCTCAATTATTTCAAACACTTCACCCTTTAGTCACGAGTAAATAGCCGTAGAATAATTGAGCTAGGATGCCATGCATTACAAAGCCAGCCATACGTTGACACAGTGACACAGTAACACAGTGACTGCCACACAGGATCGACCTCACCAGATAGTCATAAGAAACAAAGTGCTGCAGCGCAGAGGGAGAGGGATAGATTTTTCTTCTCTGCAGGTCCAAGGACTTGAAAGGGAGAGCTTCCCTAAGGGCATGAGCCAGAGACTTACCATGTGAAGGGGAGAAGGAGTAAGGAAAGAATAAAAGAGAGAGTAGGAGAGAGACTGAGTGAGTAACAGTGGATGAGCGTAGGAGAGAGGGCAATGATTGAGGAAAGGGCAACCACAGAGAAAATAGATTAGTCGAGAAACTGCACAACAACATTCAAAACAGTATGGAATATCAGAGGAGGAGAGGAAATGAATAGAGAGAGGTCTAACTTTTTCTCCACTGAGATACTCGGCTGTTTCCCTGACATGGAGGATAGGTCAGAGCAGGGAGGCGAGTGTTCAAAGAACATAAGCCCATGATTGGCAGACACATTTGTGATAGAGACGGACAAAGACCAAAAGCTCTGTGAGCAGCGTCAATAGCCATTTGGAGGAGACGAGGTGAGAGATGACAGCTGAGCAGAAGGGTGTGAAGAGAGGAGGATAAATGAATTGAGGGAAATGCTGGGAGGATGGGGAGAAGCGAGTGGGGGGAGGTCCCATTGTATATTGTGGTAGATAGGACTGTCATGACCTCTGACCTGTAATTGGACCGGTGAGTGTGTGGAGCGCTGTGCTGAAGGACGTACAGTCTAGATTCAACAGTACATTTTATTATATCTGAAGGTGTAGCTCTGTACGCATATGTTGATGGTGATGTGTGTCTGCTCCCCTCTGTTAATTACACACTCAGTCCCTGGACATCATGATTATGGTGGAGCAGGTGTGCATGAGGCTCTGCTCTCTTTGTCACTGGTAAATTGTGGTGCAACAACATGCAAATACACAGCAACCTTTCACCGCTGACTGAACATAGAGCCGGGATTCATATTTCACAAATTTTATTCATCATTCTGTCTCCTCCATGCTCATACTTTTACAACACTTCCCAGTAGATATATCTTCATTACAGATATGTGTGTGTGTGTATGTGTGTGTCCTATTTGCATTTTGGTAGGTCTCACTTTATTAAGCAGGAGCACATCATTGATCGACTCTCTTTAGATCAAGAGGCTGTCTGTGTGTGTCTGTGCATTTGTTTGACTTGTTGATCCCCACAATAAGAGACCACCACCTCCTGGTCCACTGACCCATATAATTAAGGGCGAAGGCCTCCCTCCTTCTATTGGTAGCCACAAAAGTGAATGGCACATTATCATTTGTATCATCTGTCTCACTTGCTTCCAACAAACAGCATCTTTGTTTGTCTCCGTTCACCCCACTTTTTCCTCGTTTTTTGTGGATTTTCAGCAACCAAGTGTGTTCTGTTTAAGAGAGATTGTTTCATGTCTGACCAAATCTCTTAAAGGGATATTCCGGTGTAAAATAAAGTTAGGGTCAAACACACAGTAACACCGAGTTAGACTCCCCGTCGAGAGATGAATGTTGCTGACTGCTTGCTTTCGTAGTTATACCAACTTTAGTAACGACCGCACGATAGCAATACACAGCGGTCTATGGAACCACACACAAACCTCAACCAAAACGCCACTCTAATATTGATCCAATATTGGCAATATTGCAGCTGAGTATTGGCACTCAGCTGCAATGTCTTTTTCAGACTTTAACGAAAAACACTTCCACACAGCCGACATCACCCCTACTCCTTGGTACTTTGTTTGAACCTTAGTACACACTGTTGTTGTTGTGATCATGTGGGCTCTGCATGTTGGATCTGGGTGCTTGTAGTCTGGAATGAGCTGCTTGTATCGGACTGCTGATATCAGAGATTTTAGATGGAGGCCGATATAATTTAATATTCATTTTTTGGCTGATATCGGATCGATATCCAGTAT